CTCTATGCGCCTAACGATCTTTGGACTATTCTAGATTTCTTTTACCTGTCGGTATAAAAGCCGGCGGCAGTGACCTAGAGCCAGTTATAAATATACAGTTGACGCGCTAAAATTCAAAATAAATTCTTAGTTATAAATCGTTTGTAAATAGTTCTATAAGTCGTTTATCGTTATTAGTTTTGTTAATTAGTGTTAAATAAATAGTGTTTAAATAAATTGTGACTTTCTATCCACACGGAACCGACGAAAAACGTAACAGTACGGTCCCCGTCCATACCACTAGCGAACATTCGTTCGGATAATGAATACGTACCTTGAGAGCGACCACAACAGTACCTACAGCGCGCTGTAGGTACTAATAATAAATATGGCGCTCTCTTAAGAGTCTATTACCACAAATAACACAGATTATGTGTTATCTGTGCTATTACGCTGCAGCGTGTGTTTTAATTCTTCCGGTAATTAAACTATTTTTTGTTAAGTAATTGAGTTACATATTAACTAAGGGAATTGCTTGATAATAATTGAAAAGTTTATAAACTAATTAACTATTTTTGAGGAATAATATAATTTAAACTTAATTTAATTATCAAGAATTGAATATAATTTTTCAATTATTTTCAGCTCTGGTTACATATACCATTACAAATGATTATATTCCTTAACGAAATAAATAAAAGTTAACTAAATTAAATTATTTATTATATCCGGATTACAAGCAATAGAGGATTCAGTATGTGACAACAGCGGTCAGGTACGACAGCTTAGAATGTAGTGTTATATGTGTGAAATTGTACATATGATGATAAGAAATAACGTAGTCTTTTTGTGCATTAGTTTTCTGTTAATATACTGTAACCTCAGCGTAGCCGATTGTTGTAGAAACTACAAAAAGTGCAGTATAAAAATTTTATCCGTTGAATTATGCACCACTAAGAAAGAAATTTTATAGGAACCCGCTAACTAACACTTTACATAAAACAGCGTTAATTTTAGCGAGAGGTGGATCAAAGGGTATTAAATTAAAGAATATACAAACGGTAGATGGCAAAACGCTAATAGGAAGATCACTTGAGCAAATTAAACAAGTCGGTTTTGATTCAGTTTGGGTTTCTACAGACAATTATTTAATAGCGGATGAAGCAAACAAATGTAAGTATATACAGGGTGTCAGGGTGAGTGAACGATAAAGTTAAGTCCATTATCTTAGTTGTTTCGAGGTTTACAAAAAAAAAATAAATATAAAAGTAATAGGGTAGGTTAATATACACATTTTAAAATTATTATACAGAGTGAGCCTTAAATAAGTGCAAATATGTGTGAGTGGCTTTTTTAGCCAGACTTCGCCCATTTATTTATTAAATACAACCATATTATTATTATTATTATTATTATATTATTATTTCAGGGCTGGTAGATCTCGATAAAAGAAACATATTTTCTCTTTACCATTTTTCAGATAAGTCCAAAATAACCGAGTTATTTAAGTTTGAAAATTAAAAAAAATTATTTTTTTTTGAAAAAATGTTGAGAGCCACCGAGCATTTTTTCTGTATTTGCATCCCTTTTATTGCCGTAACCATAAAGTAAAGCCATAACTATGGTAATATCAGAGATAAGAAATTATACCGTGGGAAAATTTGCGGTGAACAGGCAGTTCTAAAAAGTTTTCGAAAAATATACAGGGAAATTTAAAAGGAAATGCACGATTTTCAACATTTTTGTTAGCGAAAAAAACCTCATAGACGTGTTCCTGAAATATACCACCCCTGAAAATATTTGCACTTATTTAAGACTCACCCTGTATAATATGCAGTTTATAGAGTATTTATGATAGTAGATTAGAGTTTACAGGTATATTAGATTATTTAGAGTATACAGTGCTTCAAAATAGCGTGACGAATATAACATATTTATGTTTTTTTTAAATGTAAAAACACCCTATTTTTTATTTTATTAACTTTTTTCTATGTAATGTTATATACATAAAATTAATAATAGTTTCTGTAATAGGTATTTAAGTTTGTTTAAACAAATGTTAAAAAAAAGCGAGATTTGGTATGTTAGTATATGACATAAATTAGGATTGATTGACGTATTCAATTATTTTTGGTTACTTCCTGTTTCTCCGGAAATGACTACCACTTGTGATTTTTAAATGGCACCCTAGGTATTTTTTTACTTCATTCGATAGACTATATTCTGAATAGAATGACATTTCATATGTCAACTTTTGACATTTTCGCATATGATTAATTTGAAATTATAACATGCGGTTCATAACGAAAATTTGACTCAAAATACCAAGTGTGTGGTATCAAATTATTCGTAAAAGAATGCTTTTTCCAAATATGCTAATGAGCCACCCCCGTTCCATTTGAAAAAATTGAGATATGATTAAAAATATGGTTTGGGCATCTTTTAACCGGCCAGGACAAGACACTAAAAAGATTAGACGATCAAATCTATTTTTACAAGCTTCCTTGATTAAAAATTAGCGTTTTTAACATAGCCATATGGCACTCTATAGATTGAAATTTAAAATACATTTTTTTATTAAGTGAGAATGCCAAAAGTTGACATATGATATGCCGTTCTATTCAGAATGTCATTTTCTATCGAATAAAGAATAAAAATATACCGAGAGTGCCATTTAAAAATCAAAAGTGGTAATCATTTCCGGTGAAACAGGAAGTGGCCAAAAACCATTGAATACGTCAATCAATCCTAATTTATGTCATATTCTAACATACCAAAACTCGTTTTTTTATCTGAAAAAATAAAAAAGTTATGGGGGTGTGCCACTTTTGAGACGCACCCGGTATATTCCTTTTATCGAGTCCCACCAGCACTGAATAATATTTGTTCTTATTTGAGACTTACCCTGTATTTAAGATAATTATGGTAGATATTTAAGATAATTATAAAGCAAACGTTTTTTTTAAGAATTTATTATTCCGTAGCTTTAAAACTATTCCTATACAGGGTGCTACAAATTCAGGGTACGAGCATTGGTATCTCGGTAAGCGTAATAGATACCAACATGGTTAAATTGGGGCAAAGTTGCGCTTTAGAATGTTCACCAAGATGCCATCAAAAACGTTTTAAAAATTTCAAGGATTGCAGTGTTTTTTGGAAAAAACTGATATTTTTGAAAATCAATTTTATTTTTTCCTGCCGTTACTTTTTAGAAAATCAAAAAACTAATTGCACATTCTCATGGCCACTTTATTAAAGCTATCTGAGAGTATTTTTAGATTTTCAAATTAGCTGATAATTTGTGAGGTACAGAGGCCAACTTATTTTTTTTTTAAATACGGACCTGTATTTTTTATTTCAGATTTTGAAAGAACTCGGTCTCCTGAGTACAATGATATGCCACATTAATATTTTTTTTTTGTTTTTATATTCGAACACAATTTATTTAAACTAATTTCAAGTCCGGCTCTGTTTTTTTTTAAATATTTAATCTATTCATCGTTACAATATGTTGATTAAACTTTCAAACTTAACAAGGACTTGGGGTAAAGCATACGGAAAACCAAATGCAATAAAATAATAAAATAATTAATATAAATATATATATAATATAATATAAACAATCAAATCATTTTCCCAGAAAAAGTGTGGCATATCATTGTACTAAGAGACCGAGTTCTTTCAAAATCTGAAATAAAAAATACAGGTCCGTATTTAAAAAAAATAAGTTGGCCTCTGTTCTAACAATAAATTATCAGCTAATTTAAAAATCTAAAAATACTATCATATAGCCCTGGCTATGAGAATGTGCAATTAGTTTTTTGATTTTCTAAAAAGTAACCACAGGAAAAAATAAAATTTATTTAAAAAAAATCAGTTTTTTTTTCAAAAAAACTCAGCAATGTTTGAGATTTTTAAAACTTTTTTGATGGCAGCTTGGTGAACATCCCAAAACGCAACTTTGAGCTAATTTAACCATGTTCGTATCTATTAGGGGTACCGAGATACCATGATACCAATGCTCGTACCCCGAATTTGTAGCTCCCTGTATAATTATTCATTCATATTACTATTCAAAAATTTAGCCGTACATTCGAACACCCTGTATACGCAGTGTATATCCCTAATATTAAAATGAATAAGGCACTATATCTGGATAATTATAACTTGAAACTTGAAACTCGTTACATATTTATTAAGAATAATATATTTTTTTTAAACGTAAATTATATTTTTTAGATAATGTTAACATCCATTGGAGATCTCCAGATACAGCTACTGATGAAGCTTCTTCACTAATGGCTGTACAAGAGTTTGTAAAAAGTCATCTTATTGTAGATGTGGTCGTACTGGTTCAATGTACCTCGCCTTTTCTAAAGAAACTGTATTTGCAAAAGGCACTCGAAATATTAAACTATCACGAATGTGTATTTTCCGTTACAAAGTGCGTAACACATCGCAATGGGTACATTTTTTGCATAAATGGATATTGATTAATTAGTTTTTTTTCTCATACTAGATCAACGAAACTTCGATGGAAAGTTTTTGGGCATTTGGTAAAACCGATTAATTTTAATGTATTTAATCGACCTAGGAGACAAAATTTTGAAACAGAATTTGTCGAAAACGGAATGTTCTATGTTTCTTCAAGAAAGTTGATCGAAAAGGGCCTCTTACAAAATAATAAGTACGTAGAAATGTTTTTTTTTTCAGAAAACAATAATTCTTATGCGAAACTAGCTGGTTTGAGAAATATGTCTCTTATCCTGTAAGATTATGCAAGGTTATTTAAACTAAATATCATCACAAAGATCTTAGATCTTATACAAAACACAAGACTCTTTATCGTTATCAAAAAGCTAGGGCTGCTGTAATTTTGAACCTAAGTTTTAAACAATCACATAAAATTTTAAAATTCCCGCGATGGATGGAATTACTATATATCTTCTATAGCTACACTTTCCATCTCTGTCTGTCGGCTGTCATAAAATTTGTCAACAAAAACCGGAAAGTGAGGTTATGGGGTTAACATATGTTTACAAATCGAGTGTTTGTTAAAACGAAAGTATTAACTTATTTGCCCTGGGGGGAACGATTATCTTATTACGTACCAGTAAATATACCAAACGCCTACTCGCATCAAATGTTGTAACAAAATGACACTGTTATTCTTTTCTATAGTCGGTACATAAAACAATAGATGATAAATAACGGTTTAAAGTGAAAATGTATATTATTTGTGGTTTCTAGTTGTGGAATAATAGAAATACCGCAGTATGATGATTTAGAAGTAGATACGTCGATTGATTTGTTTATTGCAAATATGTTAACAAAATTTAAACATGACAACTGATTTAAGTTCAGGTAGGTTTCTTGGTTTCTATTGCAAAAAATTAGTCATTTTTATGACATCAACATTCTCAGAAAATTAATCTCTTTTAACTTCTTTGCAATAAATGCTCTAACAATGCCTATTTTAATTTTAGCTTCTATACCTGTAGTGTACAGGGAACTTTACAATAAATGCTCGAATAATGACAACTCTATACAAAAAGAAGTTTATCAAGCTTTTTTATCACAATGTAATCTGGAATCTTCAAGCTTAAAAATTATTTGGAATTTAGTTGGCCCTTCTAAAGATTCACATGGTACAGTAAATAGAACAAATTTTTACAAGACATTGGCACTAATTGCCTGGGCACAGCAAGGAAAATCTATATCTAATAAATTATTTGATAGCTTTACTGGGGATGGTAAGTTGGATTACTGGTATTAAATAAGCTACGCTAAAAACTCTAGGTTACTATCATTTTCTGATATAGAGTTCTCTTCATTCTATTTTTATAAACTATGCAGGATGCAACAAATGATAGGCCACATTTTAAAAATATCACAGATATGCAGGATGGTTCGTATATATTTTTAAACTACAGTTAGATGTACAAAGTGTCTCATTTTTGTGTGTTTTAAAGGGTTTCTCGTTTATGAGTAGAGATACAAAGATGTAGTTTTCACATCACTCAGCTACATTTTTATGAAACTAAAGATGTTATACACAGATATTGTTCTAACGTGGTTCTAACCATCTTAGTTTCTGAAGTACAGGACAAAATTGAAATTATTGCACTTTTGACTTTCCTAGTATCTCAGTGATATTTTCACATATTGAAAAAATGAAAACTGTTCCATAGGGATTTTTAAATAGAATTTAGTGGCGTAACTAGCTTTTCATTGGAAGCTGTCATCAGAGATGTCATTCTTTAGATATGGCCAAAAGTTATGTTTCTACTCTATACTTATTCATAAACAAAGTAAAAAATTAACTTTTTAACATAATCGGCCGGTTTTTTATACGACGTCAAATTTGGGTTTAAAAAAACAAGTCCGCGTTAGTTTCTGTGTATGAAATTATTGCACAAGTGCATCAAAAATCAAGGATACAGGGGAAAACTTGGTAAGCGCCAATTTCTTAATTTTATGATTTTACAATATTATATTAGGTCTAATTGGTCCCTTTAAAATGTATAAAATCTGCAGGGCAATCAGTTGTTAAATCCTATGATATACCGGGTGCGTCTTAAAATTGGCTTACCCCTATAACTTTTTTGTTTTTTCAAATAAAAAAAACGAGATTTGGTACGTTTGTATATGACATAAATTAGGAATGATTGACGTCTTCAATTCTTTTCGGCCACTTCCTGTTTCACCGGAAATGACTACAACTTTTTATTTTTAAATGGCACCCTCGGTATATTTTTACTTTATTCGATAGAAAATCACACTCTGAATATAATGACATATCATATGTCAACTTTTGACATTCTCGCTTTAAACAAAATTGTATTTTAAATTTCAATCTAGAGTGCCATGGCTATGTTAAAAACACTAATTTTTAATCAAGGACCCTTGGAAAAATCGATTTGAGCATCTAATGATTTTCGTGTCTTGTCCATAGACAAACTAACAAAAGCAAGACGCGTCAACGCTGTACTGCAAAACGGTAACAAGTTTGATAAGAGTTTATTACCGCGCTTGCGTCAACTGGCCTTTTAGACGAGGACGGTTTACTTATGGATTGTGTATTTTGTAGTAGCCTTTTAGACAAGGATGTTTAATTAAAAAGCGTTTATTAAAATCAAATAAATTTATTTCCATCGGTAAAATAAACAATAATTTCTGGACATAACAGATATAAAAACAAAAGTTTAATAAACGAAAACGTATTCCTCTTATTAAAATAACAAAAAAGATGATAAAAAAACAACAGTTATGGTAAACGAAATAAAAGCATTATTCTTCAAAAGGTACAAAAAAATTATTATGTATATTATAATATTAATAATAGGAACAACAAGAAACATCTTAAAAATATACAACTTTTTCAAATATAAAACATAAACTTCACATTTTCACAAGAATTTTCAAAAATATTAACATTTCGAGTCTATTATAAAATATAAAGCACAAAAATTCAAATCATAAAAAGATTAAAAAGATAAAGATTCTTATAACTTACAGTCAATTTGTAGGACCTTCGTTTTGTCTACGTTAGCGATGTAACCACAATAATATGTATAATCACAGTAATTATTATGTTCTTCATAAATGTAAAATGTATTAAATTATTTGTTTTCGTTTTGTACGTAATAAAATAATAGTAATAATCAAACAAAACGCAAAATCAGGAATTCAACAGTTCGTTCAAGGATGGTTCAAGGCAAAAACGTTTTTCGTTTTATTTAGGTTAGGTTTGACGAGTGCGACTGCGCGATGATTTCTGACTCAACTGGCCAGCGCAAAAACAATAATTCGACTTCCTCAATCCTTTGAAAAGTCTTGCTTTTGTTAGTTTGTCTATGGTCTTGTCCTGCCGGTTAAAAGATGCCCAAATGGTATTTTTAATCATATCTAAATGTTTTCAAATGGAACGGGGGTGGCTCAATACCGGCACCACCCGGTATATAGTCTTAATATGATTTCGATATATTTTTTGATACAATATATCGATATATTTAGTCTTAAAATCGGAAAAATGCAAAAAACTGCGTTTAAGTGACTTTGGCGCCCTCTAACTTTATCCCCGTAGGTTTTAGAGGTTTGTTATTTAGAGATGAAAATGTTGAGAATTTAATCTCTTCATTTTTTGTTCAAAAAATCGAATCCAAATTTTTTTGGAGTTTATCAAAAACGGTGGGATGGGGGGATACGATTTTTCGAATTTAAGATTTTCCTGTGGACCATTTACGACTAGCAAAGTATGAGAGCGGAGGTAATGTGATGGGAGTTAAAGTGCCAGATTGACTGTACTATAACATTTTAAAATAGCAAAATATTTGATGTTAATCAAAAATAATAACCATCTAAAAAAAGACGGCGCGGGCGTCCAAAAAAATTACAGAAAATACAATGCGCCTGTGAATTAAAGTTAAAGACACAACTGCCATTGGACAGTCTATAAAAAGAATGAAAACGAAATGATATACCATAGAAACGCGTTGTGTTTTTTGGGACTTTGGAGCTATATTTTTATTTTTCTCTAAAACCTATAATGGTTTTAGTTTTTCCTTGTTCTATAATGAACAAACAAAAACTTTTATGAACACTCTAGTAATAACAATCCCTGAAGGGTACTGTATAATAAAAGTATTCTCCAATAATTATTGCTTCTTAAATATATTTGTTTCCATTAGGGTAGAGAATGGTGGTACTTTTTTATCCTTACAGATACAGTAATTTCAAGAAATTACATAAAAAGATAGATAGGGCTTTTTTACGTATGGTGCTCTTCGCTTAGTTTGAAACGTGTCGAAACGGTATACTACCAGTAGTACTCTACCCTAATGGAAAGTACCCATTCAGGGTTGTTAGGGAATTTTCCGCTATCGCCATTCGCTTTAGTATTAAAATGTGTCTAAGGGTGCCAAATTTCAAGAAAAACGGGTTTTCAATGTTCTTAAAATTAAATAAAATATATAATTTTTATTTACCCTTTTGAGGGCTCTGATTTTATGGGGGAACTTTTTGTTTTATGTTCATATGTAGAATCACCCATCGTCAAGTTAAATACACTATTTTTTGACACCCTATATAAAAAACTTCGTTGTAAGATTCATAGTTTTTAAAATGAAAGTGCAAAGTGTTTATTGATTTTTAGAGCTACCATGAGCATACATATTTTTATTTCTATTTAGAATAATTCGCCCTTGCGTCACACAGCTGATATAATTTATTTTCTTCTCTCTTTATTGTATGATTTTTTTTGCAGAATATCCTACCCCTAGAATTAGTAACTTGAATTCGGTGCTAAGTATCAAACAAAAGTTAGTCTTAGAAGATACAGCTTCAGTCAATAATAATTACCAAAAACTTGTGTCTATTGATATAGTAAATGTACAACTAGTACCTGAAAAAAAGGGGCTTTTCTTAAAGTACTCAGAATATATAGTTACCTCAAAACGCTTTGGATATAAAGTGACTAGAAGGTATAATGACTTTGTTGCATTGCAAGAATTGTTGTTAAATCGATTTCCTTATAGGTAAGTTAACCAATAAAAAATACATTATTTAGGTATCTTCAGATCTTCACAGTTTTACAAACTATTGTATTAAAAATACTAAGGAAAGAGTATATTAACAGAATTAGCGAAACCGCGAAAAGGTGTTATTTTAATATGGCACTCCGGAATTTCAGTACATGTTAAGATATAAAGTAGGGTAGACTTAATGATTTGAGCCGTTGAAAACCAGACTGGTCTAAATCAATTTTTTGGATTTTCTAATTTCAATATATTACGATTCCTGATGTAGTTTTCTATCTACTAACGAGGTTTTAAAAGTGTTAGTCTATAAGAACAGAGTTCTTATAGACTAACTGATGAGCATATATCAATGAGAGCATTTATCTCACTCAAAATTGTAACCGTAAAGACGCAACGAGTTACATCAGAAAGCCAGAGTGATACATGTCATACTTAATTACATGTTAACCACTCTGGCATTTTGTTAGTACATGATTAACAGAACTAATTTTACTTCAAAAAGTTGGTTGGCTAAGGCAGTTACTCGTCAAAAATTCGTTTTTCGTAATAATGATAATGAAACGTTTTTTCTCGAAAAAGTGCCTTCGCTCGAAATACAATGGTTACATTTTAAAATGTCTGACACAAAATTTAGATAGAATTTCTATTTAGAAATTGAGCAATTTGAGCATACATCCAGCTGGTAAATAAGACAGAGGCAGATTAAAAATATTCTATTACCTGTCGTTCATGAATTTTGGTTGCCTGTAATGCAAAAAAGTAAAATATCTATCAACTATCTCAGTTTATACCGCCAGTACATCTAGGGTTTTTAAGAACCTAAAGCTGTAGAAGCAAAAAATACACCCTTTCTCTTTCTAAACCAGGACAAATATGACACAGAACTTTTAGAAAATAATCTACCCTATGAAGAGCTTAACTAGGGTGTGTTTGATAATTCTGATACTCTCGGATATATTTCTTAACTTGTTAAACCATTATATTATCTTATTAACATTTGTAAAACATAGATACAGTTCTTTTTTAATATATTTTTTTTTATTTAGATGAAGACTTATTTTAGATTATGCACTAATAGTCTCAATCAATTGAAAGCCAGAATGGTCCAAGTCAGAACATTCAAAAATACAAAAAAAACAACAGAACATAATATATCAAACATAATACATATGTATATAATACTTTTATGCGAAAATTTAAGTTGGTCCCATTTTGTTACAATACCAAAGTTAGAATGTTAATATCTTATGTGAGTATTTTACAGTAAGCCGTTAACTTTGAAGCCATATATCTCAAAACTACATTTTTTGACTTAGACCACTCTGGTTTTCAACCGCTCGTTTGTTGGTTTTGTTTTATTTTAAGAATAAAAAAAATATGCCAAAAATATCGTAAAAACAGATACGCCACTGAAGGCATATTATAAATTATTCTCGACAAGTAGTAATCCCATCAAAAACATGGAATGTAAAAAAAATCCAAGTCTTGCAAACACAGTCCTTCCACTATAAAAAGTTGTGACATCTCATGCCAAACCAAGTCAGTTTATTTTATTTAGTTTCTTTTTAAGCATCTATTCAACAATTTTGTTATAAATTGTTAGTATCAATATTAGACATCTTTATTTCTGTAATAATTATAATAGCTTCGCAATTGCAGGATATGATATATTCTACTAATTAAAAAACTTTATTCTTAAGTGCACTGTTTACATTTATTTAGTAATTGGAGTTCAATTGCCAAGTCATAATATACAGAAATAAAGATGTCTATGTCCAATTTATAACAATATTGTTGAATAGGTACTTAAATAGAAATGAGATATGTACAGGGCGAGTCTTAAATAAGTGCAAATATTTTCAGGACTGGTATATCTCGATAAAAGAAACATATTTTTTCTTTACCATTTTTCAAATAAGTCCAAAATATCCGAGTTATTTAAGTTTGAAAATTTAAAAAAATATTGATCTTTTTGGAAAATTTTTGAGAGCCACCGGCTTTTTTCTGTATTTGCATCCCTTTTAGTGCCGTAACCATAGAGTAAAGCTGTAACTATGGTAATATCAAAGATTAAGAAATTATACCGTGGAAAAATTTGCCGTGAACAGGCAGTTCTAAAAAGTTTTCGAAAAATATACAGGGAAATTTCAAAGAAAATGCACGATTTTCAACATTTTTTTGGCGAAAAAACCTTATATAGTCTGTCCAACGAGAAGATCCTTGACAGTGATAAATGTGTCTGTCATTTTAATTTCAAAGTAGTTTATTTTATTTTACAAAGAAATAAGTTGGTACAACTGGAACGCATAGCAGGAAATATTTAAAATTTGATTGACAAGATGACAAGTCATTACTTCAAAATATTGTGAAAAAAACTGTATAAAACTGAACAAATGTAATCGAGTTATTTTATTTAATAAAAACGGTATGTGTTAATACAAAACAAACAAGAACAAGACACTACATACCAAAAAAATATAAAAAAGAACTATTATTTACTTTCAAGCTTTATGAAACTACCCGCATTTATGATTATATTTATCAATATAACTTATGTACAAATACAAATTTGTAATAATCCACAGGAATAAATAAAACAACATAGGTAAATAAAACAAACTATTTTATTAATAATAACACCTACCAAATTTTATACCTTAAAGGTTGATTAATTAACTTTAATCTTAATTTTTTTAAACCAGTACCTTTTGACATTATTTTTCTGCAGTACTAAAATCCATTATTTACCTATCGTGTGATATCGATATTTTACAGCTACTCCAGTTTTTAGTATGTGTTTAGTTTGATCCTTCTACCATATACAAGATGCACTTATCTACGACGAAATGGTATACAAACTTTATCGATAGCAACTTCATTGGTGTATAAGACTTTCTGCCCTGGCAGCGAGTATTAACCATAAACTGTGCTCTGGGTCTACAGTTAATTTTCACTCGATTTTTCCTCCACTTGACTTCAAAAGACACAAAACACACGTAATAATACGAATCAAAATGCATCATATTCCAAAACGCAGGGTATTTAACAAAAGTTGACACAAAATTATAACCTAGAATTTGGCAAGACTTTGACAAGCGTCAAAAATGACAAAAATCTAAAGGCGAGTTCATACGCATCGGCGTCCGTTTGTCGTTCATCGTTCCGTCAAACCAATAAAATTGAAATACGATCTGTCATTTTTTAAATAAACCAATAAAACTGGTTAAAAACAACAAGACACGACGCATGACGGATTTATATTTAAACCCATCCATAGATAACTTAAAAATTATTAGAAACTTTTTTTAGTAAAATAAATAGATTGGTATGGGACGTCATCTGCTTTTCTTCTGTCATCGTCTGTCGAAATCTTACCTGAGAAAAAAAACAGAGTATAGACATGTTCCTGGGGTCGAAATATACAACCCCTGAAAATATTTGCACTTATTTAAGACTCCTGTATAACATCAGATAATATGAAATGGATTAATTATAGTTTTCTGACGACTTTTGATTTTGACTTTCTTTATAACCCAAATATTTCAACTTTAAAATATTCAAATCATGATTTTACCAATACTTATTCAAAATCATGTTTTTGTCAAAACTTTACACATATTTTATTTTTTATCTCGAAAACTATATGAGATAGGTATAGGTTAGTAATAGAAAAGAAATAATAGAATTATAAATGAAAGTGATTTTCAAAAATGTAATAATATACTGGTTGTTCCATTTAAAATAACAAAGTGGTAGCATACTTTTCAAATAGTCCGGCAACACCGTAACACTGATAATATTTTAGATAGATGGAGCAGGTGCCTTTATATAAAAAAAACAAATTTTCAAAACAATCCTATTACCAGTTCTCCTACTACCATCGCGGGAATGTAAGTTACCGGTAGCGGCTAGCCAACTTCTAATCCATAACAATATTTCGAGATTTTTCATTTTTTCCCGTCCTTTATAAGCTTAATGCTACCTAAAATTCAAAATTGTTTTGCACCTTAAGCACCTTAGACTTTTGATGAGTCAGTGACAAAATTAAAGAAATTTGACAAGCGATAATTCATTAACCATGAAGTTTATTTACTAGATATTTTGGCGATCTAGCCAACTATAGTGTAGGTCCTCATGTTTAGTAAGACAATAATATTCTCGCTTTATCCACAACGAACTTCACTGCCGTGTCTCAGATAAATTTGAAAATGCAAAGAAAAAAGACATAAATACTAGTTAACTCCAAACGAATTACTTAACTTATTGTTTTGCTACTTGTGCATACAGAGTGTAAATAATTAATTGCGAAAAAAATTCAGTTGGTGATAAGGGTTTCTTGTATGTTTTTTTGATGTAACATTTGTAGGAAAGTTATTTGGTTATACAGGTTGGGTCAAAATCACGATGTTCTTATTAAACTTATTTGAAAAACGGCTCACCCTAGAAGATTGAAAGTTGACGTGTGCATGGCTCTAATCAAATTGAGTTTTTAGGCGGAATTTTTATTTAGTACCTGAGAGATCGAATTCGGCATAATATCAAGAGACAACTTTTAATTGGCATTAAACAATCTATACAATGTTGCAAATTTTGCAACAATTTGCAACAAGAGTAATAAAAATCAGTGGCGCACGTGTTTTTTTTAGAAAAATATTCCAGTGATAACCCATATGCATGTCTATTATGCATAATCTTTTCCAGTGATAACCCATATGCATGTCCCTGGTGAATCTGTTGACACTGTTTTAGCATTAAAATATGTCGCACTTATAGTAACTTTTACCCTCTAATCCCTAACATAACTCCTCCCACATCCATAACCCCCTGTAACTACGAAACAAAGAAGAATCGGACCTATGTTGATATAAATAAAAATTGTCAAGTGCGAGTCGGACTCGCGCACGAAGGGTTCCGTACCATTCATTATCTATACAACAATAGACACTATATTATTATAAACTTTTTTCCGATTTAGCTGAAATTTTGAATGCGCGTATAAGTAATTTAAAAAAAATGAAGAAACACATTACTAAAAATTGTATTAATCAATAATATATATGTAAAAAGTAAAAATAAATATGTAAAAATTTAAAAAAAAACGATTAAAAAAGTCGCCTTGACTAGGATTCTAACGGATTCGAACCTGCCTTACTACGGCTCCAACGTCATAGCAGCGTAAAGTCGTAACGCTTTAAACCACGCGGTCACCGAGGATTCTTACTTAAAGATAATGTTTAGTGAAAGTACTTTTTTATTTATAAACATTTATTTAATTCTGTTTTTAGTATTTGTTCTTATAGCAGCAACATAGATACATTATCTTTAAAAATTTCAACTGTCTAGCTATAACGGTTCATAAGATAGACCTTTGTGACAGACGGGCGGACGGACTGACGGACAGCGAAGTCTTAGTAATAGGGTTCCCGTTTTTACCCTTTGGGTACGGAACCCTAAAAATAAATCTTATTTTTACGTGGAAAATCTCCCCACGAGAGAAATCTCCCCACACTTATAAAATAAGCAACGAAAATCACACTCACACACAATCATTCAAAATTGTCAAGAGAAAAGTAAAACAAAACTAACAATAAAGAGGTTTCAATGATATCCCTTTCGTCTTTGAAATAGTATTTTACTCCTTCCTTAGTATTTTTTTGATGTTTTATAAGACGATCAACAAAATAAGTAATTGCTTTTTTAACAGGTTAATTCCAAACTTGCCCCCTAAGAAAATTATTATCAACGATAACCAATTTCTAGAGGAAAGGACTAGAGGTTTGCAAAGATGGCTTACCTTGGTGTGTAGACATCCTATTTTATGTCATGACAGTTTAGTCAGTTTCTTTTTAACAGATGAGGCATCTGATTTACAACATCGCATTCGGAATATATTTCGCAAAGTTCCAGACGAATTTATGACATCAGATTTAGCGGCTACAGCTAAGGTTTGTTTTAAATGACTTATTTCATTCCTTTATTTTTTTTAGATTATTTTTTTTTGTTTAAAACTTTGATTCAATTCATGTCTATTGTTAAATTAACCAGTATAAAACTTCATTTGGAACTTCGAAATTAGTGGAATAAATTAGTGGTTTCGATTAGGATAGAAGTTTGTTCCTCTAATTTCAGTGTAAGCAATCAGAACGTCAAAATTAGTGGTAATAATTTTCAATAACTTTGGAAGTAATGTCATTTTGGCCTTTGATTATCATCCGTCAAGAAAAATTGTGATTAAAAATAAAAAAAAATGGTTTTATAGGCTAATTATTAGAGTTTCTCTGTGAATTTAACTGACTACAGCAAGCTGTTGCTAGGATATTCTATTAATTTTTTAATTGTATTTTTAGACATTGTGAATGATGGTTATAAAATATAATTGAAACCTAAATAATTTCGTCTTTATTAATAATTAATAAATTACAATTAATTAATTAAATAGGCTTAAGAGTATAAAAATCTCAGATCTTGCTCTGTTGTGGGTGCAGAGCAAATGCACAGTCAAATTTTTGGAGGTTCCTCATTCAAAAAATATTAAGTAATTGCAAGAATAATAATGCAAGAAAAGTCAGTGGCAATTTTTTCTAAAATATTTGATACGCCACTGAAGTTAATACCTTACATAGAAACTCTCGCCAATATTCCGGGTGCGTCTCAAAAGTGGCTCACCCCTATAACTTTTTTATTTCTTCAGATAAAAAAACGAGATTTGGTAGGTTAGTATATGACATAAATTAGGCTTGATTGACATATTCAATTGTTTTTAGTCACTTCCTGTTCCACCGGAAATGACTACAACTTTTGATTTTTAAATGGCACCCTCGGTATTTTTTTTACTTTATTCAATAGAAAATGACATTCTGAATATAATGACATATCATATGTCAACTTTTGACATTTTCGCTTAAAACGAAATTGACTTTTAAATTTCAATCTAGAGTGCCATGACTATGTTAAAAACACTAATTCTTAATCAAGGAGCCTTGGAAAAATAGATTTGATCGTCTAATGTTTTTAGTGCCTTGCAAATACACCATATGCCCGGTATATTTTTACTTTATTCGATAGAAAATGACACTCTGAATAGAATGACATATAATATGCAATACATGCATATGTCAACATACATACAAAAAAATATAATATTTTAAATTTCAATCTAGAATGCCATGAATGTGTTAAAAACAATGATTTTTAATTAAGGAGCCTTGGAAAAATAGATTTCATCGTCTAATGTTTTTCGTGTCTTATCCTAGCCGGTTAAAAAATGCTCAAATCGTATTTTTAATCACATCTCAAGTTTTTCAAATGGAACAAGAGTGGCTCATTAGCATATTTGAAAAAAGCATTTTTTACGAATAATTTGATGCCACACACTTGGTATTTCGAGTAAATTGTCGTTATGAACAGCATGTTACAATTTCAAATAAACCATATGCGAAAATCTCAAAAGTTGACATACGATATACCATTCTATTCAGAGTGTTATTTTCTTTTGAATAAAGTAAAAAAAAATACCGAGAGTGCCATTTAAAAATCAAAAGTTGTAGTCGTTTCCGGTGAAACAGGAAGTAACCGAAAACCATTGAATACGTCAATCAATCCTAATTTATGTCATACTAACATACCAAATCTCGTTTTTTTTTCAACTGAAAAAATAAAAAAGTTATAGGGGTGAGCCACTTTTGAGATGCACCCGGTATACAAAGAAGCCAAAGCAAGAGTAATGATATATAAAACAAGCCCAGAGTTTCCAACTGGCAAAGGAGTACGATAGGGAGACGCAATATCCCCAAAGTTGTTTACAGTAACACTAGAAGAAATCTTCCGTCAACTAGACTGAACCAACAAAGGATTAAAAATAGATGGAGAATATCTTAACCATCTAAGATTCGCTGATGACATAGTTCTAAAAGCCAATAGTCCTGAAGAAGTACCAACACAAATTAATGAACTAAATACAGCCAGTAATAAAGTAGGTATCAAAATGAATTTATCAAAAACTAAAGTAATGTACAACGAACTAGTAGACAGAAAAGACATTCTAATAATTAACACAAAACTGGAAATAGTAGAAGAATACATATATTTGGGACAACTAATACACAGCTCGGGATCTCTACTACCAGAAATCAACCAAAGAATTAAGTTAGCATGGAGTACTTATGGAAGAAAGTTAATCATATCCAAATCTAGAATGCCGCTCTATCTAAAGAAGAAAACATTCGACCAATGTGTACTACCAGTCATGACCTATGCATGCGAAACCTGTACTCTTAAAACGGACATTCTAAGGAAACTGCAGATCGCACAACGCCCACAGGAACTAAATATGCTAGGAATTACCAAGAAAGACCTAAAAAAATAGAGTGGATACGACAAAAGACCCAGGTAATAGATGTCATCCACAGAATCAAATTCCTCAAGTGGCAATGGGCAGGACACCTGGCGGAAGGACGGACAACAGATGGACCACAAGAATTACAGCATGGTACCCACGAGGAATTAAGAGACCTAGAAGAAGACCAAACTTGAGATAGGACCATGATATTATGGGTCCGCACAGCCAATAATAAACAACAATGGGCCCAACTACAAAGAGAATATCTAAATATGTGAGGGAGGCTACACCATAATTGGAAATGGTTTAATACGCTGAGAATGATGACGATGATGATCTTTAAAACTACGTATTCCTGGACCCACGTTTCTAGAAACATTTCTCCATATTTTTGATGGGGAATCACCTCCTGAAATTTGACCGTGCATTGCACACCCTGTATAATAAATATCTTATTATCTCGAATTTTAATACGAGTTAAGTTATACAAAATTTATACAGGGTGAGTTTTCTATGATTTTCTCTATGGGTATCTCGGAAACTACTCAAAATAGAGAGTCCGTTAAATAGGGAAAGAATTGCAGTTTTGTGAGGTCATAAATTGCAGTTTTGTGAGGTCTTTCAGATTTTTTTCAACAATTTCCCTTAGTTAGCCATGGAAACAAGTTCAATCGTCGTTGCCCTCAGAAATGCAAAGCTGTCACATCCAAACTTTGTAAGACTGTTTGTCTAACTGTTTTCAAGACATCGAAAAGTTAAATTTAAATACTCGCGCATCAATAGAGTGGTTCCATCATGACTTTCATTATATCATAATTATGCAAACTCAGGGATCGGAACAGGTGGACCAATTGCATGGGCCTCCTCGATGTCCTGGCCTATCCATTTTAGATGTTATGCGGCATGGTTAACAACAAGGTTTACAAAAGAACTTATGAATTAAGGGAGGCACTCGAAGAGACGGTACGGGTGAAGTTTAATTAAGTCGAGAACCGTTTAATAATATATTCTGTCTTTTTAAAGTTATCAATCATAACAGAATTGAATACCATGCCAAATAAGTGCAGTTAGTCAAGAAAGAAAAGAATTGGCTATAACTCAGTAATGTTTCGAAAAAAACATATACAGGGTTGTTCGCCACATACGACACGGAATATTGTAGCTAAACGATTAGATTTTTATAAATTGTAAGTTTTGGGTTCGTTGAACGACTATTAGAGCTACAATTTAAAAATATTTTTACAAGATACAGAGTGTCCCAAATAAGTTAAAAATATTTTAGTTGTATTTTTTTAAATGGAACACCCTGTATATTATTCTATTTTTGGATTCTACGATTGAAATAAAGGTAAATTTGATTAAGGTTTATCATACTTAAACCTTACCGGTTTTTAAATATTTTCAATTTTATGAAATTGCAGTAAAAATTTTAAGGCTTCATTTCTCCAAGGGTATCAAAGTTTTTAATACTAAATATTTACTGACGATTATTTATTGATCAGATATTGTGTTGCAATAATAAAAATTTTACTAACTTATACAGAGTGTCCAAAAATGTATATTAAATAATTACTAGCTTTAAACGGCAATAACTTGTTTAATTTAAATAGAACACCCTATATATTTTAGGTGAATCAGATGGACAATATAATTGTCTATCAAATTGTATTATACCATTTTTACCCATCTCTTCAAGTTTTCGTAGAAAATGCATTTTCTTATAATTTAGACCTCATTTATCACTATACCTGGAATGGAATAATGGAATATTGACATTTCAGATTTTTTTAAAGCAACATATATGTACAAAATGTATTGCAAGCCCACTGGTATACAAAAAAAACTATTTAAATCTTTGTGAAAGAGTATAACAATTAAATATACATATCCATTATTTCCGACCAAAAATTAGTTTTAGTTTAATTAATAAAGTATTCTAAATAATGTGTGTGTGAATTTGGCTCAGAATTAATATAATAATAAGTTATGAAGATGAACGTTTCTGTTTTTATAAATAAGCATTCGTCAAAAAATGAAATAAAATGTATAAAGTGTTACTTTTTACCACACTGTCTAATACACACACAAAATTCAGTTTTTGAGTATTTGGAGCAAATATTATTAATCAACGTAAACAGTCAATTAATGTAGTTTGAATGCTGGGATCATATTAATTGGTCCTTGTTAACAAAAAATATTTAAACATTTTTTTTTATTTTTTAATGAAATAAGCGAACTATATCGACAATATTAGTATCTGTACTCTTTGAAAATTTGTTACATCTTCAAAAATAATCCAAAATGTCAATATTTCATAGGTATAGTGATAAATGAGGTCTAAATTATAAGAAAATGCATTTTCTACAAAAACTTGAAGAGATAGGTAAAAAATGGTATAATACAATTTGATAGACAATTACATTGTGCTGTGATTCATGTAAAATATATAGGGTGTTCCATTTAAATTAAACAAGTTATTGCCGTTTAGTAATTATTTAATATAAATTTTTGAACACTCTGTATAAGGTAGTAATATTTTTATTATAGCAACACAATATCTGATCAATAAATAATCTTCAGTAAATTTTGTATTAAAAACTTTGATACCCTTGGAGAAATAAAGCCTTAAAATTTTTAGTGCATTTCATAAAATTGAAAATATTTCAAAAACGGTAAGGTTTAAGTGTGATAAACCTTAGTCAAATTTACCTTTATTTCAATCGTAGAATCTAAAAATAGAATAATATACAGGGTGTTCCATTTAAAAAAATACAACTAAAATATTTTTAACTTATTTGGGACACTCTGTATCTTGTAAAAATATTTTTAAATTGTAGCTCTAATAGTCGTTCAACGAACCCAAAACTTACAATTTGTAAAAATCTAATCGTTTAGCTACCATACTCCGTGTCGTATGTGGTGAACAACCCTGTATAGTAAACGCCACGAATGTTTGGGAGTGATTCATCGGTCGCTACCATGTGAACTAATCTGTTCAAGGTTACATAAAACTTAATTCCAGTGCCGTGGTGTATCAAGTCATATAATAATCAATATATAATCTGTTGTAATTTGTTGTTTTAACTGTCGAAGTCTTGTCAAAACATATGTTTGGTTATAAATATAAACTGGAATGTCCCGTTGTTCGCACTGCAAGCACACCAATGGACTGACGCACAAAAACGAAGCAATCAAAGAAACGCGATATAGTATCGTCTTTGTGAATCACGCTAACATTTTAGAATAAGTAGGAGGAGCGCAGGCAGATGATTAGACCGGGCCTTTAAAAACCTACATCTGCGGTAAAAATTTACGTTTTTAATGTAAAAGTGATAGCGCGCGTGTCGATTCTAACTTCATGAAGCGATGAATCACTCCCAAACATTCGTGGCGTTTACTATACCTTATGGCGCGTTCTCACGGCTCGTGTACTTGGCAAGTATTTTTTTAAGGCATAGAGGGTCTATAATAAATAACTTACGAATTCTGTATAGATGCCCGATGCACCGTGTATACCCTGTATACCAATTACAAATATTTGTCTAGTAGACGAGTCGTGAGAATGCGCCATTATATCGCTGAAAAGCTTTAAAAAATGACGATTTATGAAGTCATGGCCAACTATGGTTTGATACATATGTTTGTGTCACATGTCAAAAAAAACATATGTTTGTGTCACATGTCAAAAATGACAGGCTTTAGAAAAAATCGGAAAACATAAATTCATTAGGCATGTGATTATCTACAACTTTTATCTGAAAACTTTTTTTCTAAAATAGATTATAATGGAATTAGGGACAAGTTTTAAAATAGCCAAATTTTTTTTTTTCGAAATATCTAGTAAGCCATGAACTTTTTCAGTCTGAAAGGCACATATTTATAACTCCACAAAACTGCAATTCTTGAGAGAAAAGAAACGAGAACATCGTAGGAAACTCACCCTGTATTTGATAAACTGAACTGACATATAAAAACTGTTATAAATAACAATTTGCAGGACTTGGTACCAAGTGAAAATGGACAAATTGCCTCCAATCGTGAGTGTATCAGATCTCTCGTAAATGTTATTGGAAGATTGAAGCTAGATATTGAATCATTGATTAGTCATAATCACGATACTGCCAGAGAGATAGAGGATATTTCAATGCAACTTAAGCATATCAGTTCCATGAATATTGGCTCTGACCAACATTTTGTAGAGAATTGGGGAAATGTACAGAGAAATTTTGATGTAACATCTAGGTGTGATGAAAATTATTTTACAATTTTGCCATTTAAGTATAAAGCTTACTTTTTTTAGCGAATTACATGCCATATCTTCAGCTTCACTAAAACAAGCAGATACTGAACGAAAAATTGTTTGTGAAAAACTTTCACTTATTTATGACATTTTAGTTGCTCACAAAGAACTGTGTGAGAGATTAGAAAAAGGGCTCGCGCACGATCATCAAATGGCATTGTCAAAAATGCTAGCACTAAAAAAGAAGAAATTACAAGGAGCGATTCGAGGTACCAATGTGAGTTTTTATGGATAACTTATAAATAACCAATTTTTAATATAATTCTATAAATCTTATCACACAACTTTTGATAATTATTGGAAAAACTGGAAACCGTTCGATTTTTACCAAAATTGGTATATACGAATGTGAACTTTTTTCCTGGCGGTCTCTTACCGCTTTTCAGAAAAACTGAAAATAATTTCAACATTGAATTTTCCTTTAGTTCAGCACTATAAAGTAATAATTTCACTATATTTTCATTATATTATAGTTTATCTAAAGCCACACTTGATTGAGGATAGAAAAATATCCAAAATTTTACTGAAAAACGCTATCTTCATTTCATTCTTAACAAAATAACAAAGAAAATTGAGACAAGATGGAAGTTTGACATTTCATATATCCTTTTTCTCTCGTATGCAGTGAGAGAGACAAATATATTCTAGATCTAATCTAGGAATCTAGGGTTAATCTGTTTTTTTTATATACAGGGTGGTCCGAACTGTATTCCGAAAACTTCAGTAGCATATTCTGCAGATTAAAATAAGTAAAAAAGTTGTATAAATGTATGTCCTAAAATGCTTAGTTTCGGAGATACAGGGTGTAGAAGTTTCATTTTCATTTCGATTTTTTCCAAATAATTTTTGAAGTAACGTCAATATTTGGATAAAAATCGGAAGTTTTGTGACACGAGAAATTTAATTTTGATGTCAAAATGACTCCTATTTGTAGGGGGCGCCACCTACAGGTGTTTTAACTGTTTTCAAGAGTAATAACTTTTCGTTCATACCTGTATAAAACTAGTGTGTAAAAAATATACATTTACGACATTTTTTACATAAAAAAGGTCTCTTGGCAAAAATCGCTACGACTAATGGTTTTCGAGATATTTGGAATCGAAATTATCAATACTTGTCATTATTGACATAAATTAAAAATGTTGACTAAATAGGTATTAAACTGAAATCATAAATTTGAAATCTTTTTGTGCCAAAAGTTCAACAGAAACTGTTTAATTATCATTTTTTCGCAGAAACATTTATGATTAATTCCAAAAAATAAAAATTTATTATTTCTGTCAAATAACTATACTCAACGTGTGTGCTCATTTTTTGTCAATAATGACAATGTATTGACTATTTCCATTCAAAATATCTTGAGAATGGTTGCTCGTAGCGATTTTTACCAAGAGACATTTTTTATATAAAAAGTTATGGAGATGTATATTTTTTCAGTCAGTAATTTTATACAGGTACGGACGAAAAGTTATTACTCCTCAAAGCAGTTTTAAACACATGTAGGTGGCGCCCCCTACAAATACGAGTCATTTTGACATCAAAATTAAAATTCTTGTGTCACAAAACTCCCAGACACCAATTTTCATCCAAATATTTACGATACTTCAGAAATTAGCTGGAAAAAATCGAAATAAAAATGAAACTGCTACACCCTGTATCTCCGAAACTAAGCATTTTAGGGCATAGATTTATAGAAACTTTTTTACTTATTTTTATTTGCAGAATATGCTGCGGAAGTTTCCGGAATTCAGTTCGGACCACCCTGTATAAAAAAAATTAAATTTTAATATATATAAAAAAAAAGAATAACCCCCCCCCCTCACGCGAAAAAGTTGAAACCAATGCAATTAAAACTCTTTTGTGCAACTTTGTGGTTATCTGATCTCGTTGGTAAAATAGCAGTTATGGTAAAATAGCAGTTGGTAAAGGAGCCGTTTATCTGGCGACTGCCTTTTGTAATCCCACAGAGGGAGAAAAAAAGCGCTAAATTTAGGTTTAGCATTGGCAACGTTGCGTTAAATGTCAGAGACACATAACCCAACATTTTCAGATTGTTTACAAATTTATTTTAGCAAATTTTCCTCTATTATGCATAGAATTGGTTAAAAAAGTAACAGAAAATAGCAAAATCTTAATTGTTTATTGAATGCCTAACAAAATATGTGCTAGAACACCTTAAAAATATGAGAAATTAAGAAAAATTAATGATTAAAGATTATTAATTACGAATACAGAAGATTTAAGTTTTTATATGGGACACCCTGTATATTTTTAATTCATTGAAAAGAATTTAAAATTACCTTTCCAAAAATATAGCATACTTGATATTTTGCTCGATTCCTCTTTGAGATATAGAGTTTTTTAAAATTCTCCCACTTTGAATAAGTAGGCTTTGAACGCTGGCTGTAATGCTTAAAAATTCTAGCTGTGTGCAGCAATTAAAACGAAAATAATATTTGCAATGAGAGATGTAGAATTTTATAACAATTTAAACTATATCTAATAACAATAAAAATTAATAGCAAACCAAGATATGAGATTTTGCTACCGGTGCTGGACATATCGAGAATCTTCTGTTATGGACAGACCGTTTTTTGAACATTTCTCGCGGAATTCATTAACTTATTGTCTTAGTCTAATTTTTGCCTAGATTATACGGGCAGTTTAAAAATAACATGCTTTATTATAAACATCCATAGGCGTTAAATTCGGCGGCATTGATGGCCAACAACTGGGATCTTGGTTAGCTATTGAATTATTCTCGAAATTGGGAAATTGGCTGAAAAATTTTTCTGTTAACTTCAGCGTTCTGAGGCGGTGCCTCATCTTGCTGGAAAAATATGTTTTCAAGATCCACTATCATCAATAAGGGGTCCAAGGCATACTAGTTTAAAAGAGGCGAACTTATAAAAATTCTGTATTTCGAAGGGGACCATAACAAAATATCAAGTGTGCTATATTTTTGTAAAGGTAATTTTAAGTTATTTTCACTTAATTAAAAACATACAGGGTGTCCCAAATAAAAAAATCAATTTTTCTGTTGATAACTCTTAAATTATTAATTTAAAAAAATATACTTAAACCATTAAATTCCACGTAAAAAGCTGCTTTGGAAATGTTTTCACAAAAATACAAAATTTTCAATAGCAAAAAAGTTACAGAAATTTGTTTAAAATTCACAATGGGGTGTTTGGAAAACACCCCGTAACTCATAAACGGTAACAGATATCGATGTGCGGTTTTCACCATCTTGTTTTTTATAAAAATTGAGCTCCAGACACCAATATTAGTTTTCGTCTATCTCCTATAGAAAAGGGATGTTTGTTTCCCTTTAAAAGCGTCAAATTGGACCCACCCTGTACAGAACTGTCGTCAGTTCTCTAGGACATCTTTCGTTCTAACTGACAAGTAAAACTTGTTATGTGTAGACGGAGCTTAACACGATATTAAAAGCAAACTAGAAAAAGGTTTAATCACCGAACAATAATATACCTCAAAATAATAATTTGATGTAGTCTTGAAATTATTTAATAATCGTAAATTTTTTGTTTCAGTCAGAAAGCATTGAACAGTTAGAAGCCAAGATGTTAGCTCAAGAAAATATAATTTCGAACATTGATTTGAGAACAGATTTTAGTCTATATTGTGTACACACGGAAACTCAATTAGTATTTACGTATCTAGGTACTATACCATCAATAATCTCAAACTTTATTGATTTAAAGACAAAATCACATATCGAAGTAAGTGCAATATAAATACATGTTTTTTATGTAGGTATTATAAAGTCCAATCCATAAAGTAACTAAAATAAAAGAGTGTTTGAAAGGTTGTCTGTCTAACTTGGCCATAATGTTGTGTGAGGCTCCCCCGTTTTTGAGAAAGCTCACAGACGCCGAGTTGCCTTGGTTCGGTTTCTCGGGCGCCACCTCCAACGTTTAAAGTGTTTGAGAGACCACTAGTGCCAATACGGGTATAGCTTTTATACAGTGGAGATACCAGGGAGTGATGAGATGAAAAGAAAATAAAACACACAATTAACTATAACGTAACACTAGGTTTTTATTTAACTAATTAATTATGTACAAAAGTAATCAAGGAAAGTTCACGTCCTCGAATTGTAACAATAGTGAAATAAAATGTATATTTAGAGACCCAAACCAAACCAAACCAAATTTACAATAACAACCGTGTACCTCTTGAGTTCTGATCGATTATTCCCGATACGCAATTCTCTGACTGATTCTATCACACGAATTCAAAGCGCGTTCCCGAAGTGACGTTCTATTAAACACGACGACGCGAGTTCCTGATCGGCGTCGGATTTAGCGGCGTCCTAATGAACACAGACACATAGGTACCGGAACAACACACTCTACCACGACGGGACTCTCTAAACGGCGGCGACGTCGTTACAGGCGTCCCGATGGTCACAGCTAAATATTTATCGGAACGGCGTCCGTTTTGACAGCGAAACACGGACCTCTGATCGGCGTCCGAGTTAAAAGCGTCCCGCGAGTCCTGGATCGATCGCGAAGTTAACAGCGTCCCGTGGGATACACAAACGCGAGTCCCGGAGTGACGTTGACGTTAGCGACGTCTCGGCGAGTTGTACGTCGTTCGGATAAGCGCAGCCCGTACACACACCGCCCGGTCAGGACAGCCTCGGGATTTCGGCGAGATCCCGTCCAGCGTCACTGTTGCAGTGCCGCTTAATAATTATAACAAGGATACGACCTACCTTCGAACACTTCGGCGGCTGGTGCTTACCTAGCGCAGTACGGCGGCGACCGGCAGCTGGCAGCAGGTCACTTGGCAGGCATTCCGGACTCGACTTCACTGTTTCGCGTGCGACCACAAACTCACTGTTTGGAACGGCTGCAGCTAAGGTACTCGACTGACGCTCCCCTCCACTCAGCCTGCACTAGCAGAGTAGGGCGAGCGGCGCAAACGGTTCGGTTTTTCGCATTAAACTATAACGACCAAAACCGATCAAAACTCTCTTACAGTATGGCAATTAAATATTTAACTTATTTAGTTCAACAATAGGAACACTAATGAAGTTCATTACAATAATGATTTAACAATAAAATACATTGACTGTCATTATTAAAAGAAAATGAAGTCCCTATTATTCTAGTATAATATTAATTAACACAATATACAGGGTGTCCTAGAAATTTTATGAACTTCATTACAGTTGCATAGTTTAGTTAGGGCTCCAGAGCGTCGCCACCTGCTACCTGTCACGTGTCATGACAAGATTGACAGTGACATGACAGCAAATTATTTGTATTTTTATTTTGCAATTATTTACAATTTTGTTTTGAATTTTGTTATTATTTTGTGTAGCATATACTTTGTTTGTTTGTTTTGTGTTTGTGCGTACAGAGATTATGGAGGAAGTTTTATTTCCCTAGGAACCAGAGACCTTATATTTCTCTATGATTTGAACTTTATGTTTTATGCTATGTGTTTTGCCGTCATCATGTAATATTTTGTTCGGCCAGTGATGTGATTTGAACACGATCCAGGAAAGGGTATCATGCAAAGCAAGTTCGATTTGTAAAGACATTGCCCGTCTCTGAACTCCGTGAACGTATAATGAACTGACAATAAATTTGCGCCTTCATTTCACAGTGTTGAACATTTGCTACCTCAACTGAACTTCAACTGCTGAGTTTATAAATCCAACTTACAGGTGAATTAATTTTTGATGATGTCCTATTTAATTCTTAATCTGTTATAATGGCATAGATTGCAAACCCTGCGATCTTATATGCTTTGTTAGTGGCGTTGGTAAATACGTTTTATAATACTCTGATACTATAGGTTAATCGAGGGGTAAACCGCTGGTGTATTTTGGTGTACAAGATGTTGGTATTTTTGGCATTTTCGTGGTATTATTGGTATTAGGAAGAAATTATTTGGCATTAGTGTACTGAAATTCATCAGCGGTTTACCCCTCGGGGTTAATTCAGCATATATATGTTTTATATTATCAAATTTAATTTAGCATTTAACTGTAAGCATTTGAAAAGTGTACAATAGTTTATACTTATCAAATATTCCGTTTTTAAAACTAAATTTTCATTATATTTTTTGCAGTTTTGATTTCGTAATATTTTTAAAAATACATAAAATTTTATAATCACATTTAAACTGCCCGCCTTTTTTGTGGTAGGTAATGCAGATACCTATTTTACCGATTACGTCTGTCATATTTCCATTAGTTCAGTTAGGGCTCAAGGGTGCGCTACAATCGATCCTCGTTAAACGTGTTGCCTACTTTTGACTATGGTTTTGAATAAGAAGACTAAGGAAGGAGCATAATGCTATCCATGTATTCATGCATGGTGGGCGGAAAAAGGACTCTAGGGTGGGGATCCTTGACAGTTCTGTTTGACGATTCATTTGACACATTTAAATTTGATTTGAAATTTTGTGGATTTGTCAGTCTTTACGGAGCTTATTTTATGTTATTTATTATTTAGTCTACTACTGATAGTTGTATAAAGGTAGTAACTCTAGATGGAAATTGTAGCAGAACTTAAATTAACAGTGACACTATCGCGATTTATCGAAAAAGACTCTAAAATAGTTGGTTGTGTAGCGTGCGGTAGATCTCGGCAAAAATCGAGTGAAATAATGGAACAACTTTTCGCTAGTAAGTAACTATATAATATACATACGTGTAGTAAACCGATCATTTATGAAATTCACTTAAATTAACTAATTATATATTTTTTCTTGCATTTTTGCTTTTATTTACTACTTGTCAAAGACTAGATGTCAAAGAATTTAGATACGTCAATTTGACTTACCTGCTTCAGTAGCGTATCGGATGTTTATGTTAATAAATAAAACGTCTACCCTACATCATAGTTTTGCATTTTTTAAATAAAATTAGAACGGTACTGATAAACCGGAATTTAAGTCGGCCATATTTGAGGCCCATCGCGGTGGACCTAAGATTTTTACAAATATAAATAAATACAAAAAAATGTTAACTTTTTAATTCTGCATCTAAAATGAAAATAATATACAAAGTATTGCATTTAGAAAAATTACATATAGCATTCTAAATATTCCGATGTTGACACCATAAAAATTAACCTGTATAAGGTAATGTAAATTTTCTTTCGCGGGTTTATTCCTTTATCTTTGGTGTTTAGGAAAATAAACGGTCGATTATTAAGTAAAATATAGGAGGTACCGCAAAAAGTTAATACAAAAGATAGGATTTTTAAATATCTATTAGCGAGTAATAAATTTAATTATACAGAGTCTTATGAATGACCCTGTCGTGGCACATCAGTTTTATTTTTTTAAATAGAACCCCCTGTATATTATTGCATATTTCAATTTTTCCTTCAATTCTAAGCAAAAAGCGAAATACACACAATGTACCTCAAAACAACCGTTTCCGAGTTATTGACTTTTGAAAATATCACTTAAACAATTCGATTTAATTAATTTCGATGTGTTTGGTTTGATTTAATGATGCCATTCTGTCGAAACTGTGATACTGTTGTAATGGGTTTTTAAATTCCTATTAGCTACTAGTAAATTTAAGTATACAGGGTTGGTCATAAAGTTGTGTCACATCAAACCAAACTTTTTTTTTTAATGTAACCCCCTGTATATTATTGCATATTTCAACATGTACAACATTACAATGTACATAAATTGAAGAATTGAAATGTTAAACGAAAATTATTTTATACATCTATAAATGCTAACTTGAGAACTAATGTCCAATATTATTAAGTATCACAGTTTCGACAGAATGGCATCGTTAAATTAAACTGAACATATCAAAATTAAAAAAAAAATCAATTAAATCAAATTGTTTAAGTGATATTTTCAAAAGTCAGTAACTCGGAAACGGTTGGTTTGAGACAAGAACGGTAAACTAATAGGATTGCTCATCCTCATAAGACGTACGTTCGCCTCTTCCCGCGCTTCAGCTGACAGTTGTGACGTCATTGTAGCCCTTGTCAAAGCCTTCGTGGCCTTGTCATGATAGTGTGTATTATTAGTTGCCTATGGTAAACTTATAAAAATAACAGCTGAGAAATTTTGAGTTAATTATTTTGTCAATTTTAAATGTGAAAAAGGTGTTTTTAAAGTTTTTAGAGCTATAGAGTGTATAAATACGTTCATTTTGTGTTGTGGATTGTGACAAAGTGCTTACTAAGTGCCCACGATTTTGTTTATTAATTATTTTAAAGCAAAATATGGAAGTACTCTAAGTGATGCTGGGAACTGCTGTTCTTAAAAATGCATTATCCGAGTATTTAATACGATTTATACAGTTAATTTTCTATACTGCGTACATATAAGGTGTTTAATTAAATAAACTAAATAATGAACGTTTTGCATTCGGCAACCAATAATGCACGTGTGTGTATTATTGGTTGCCGGATAAGGACTAATAACCATGACAAGGGCTACAATGACGTCACAAAGCGAGTAGTTTTCGCATGCACCTGGCGGACACTTTTGGCTGAATGGGCAGTCCTATTAGGTTAACTGTTCTTGGGTTTGAGGTACATTGTGTGTATTTCGATTTTTGCTTAGAATTGAAGGAAGAACCGAAATATGCAATAATATACAGGGGGTTCCATTAAAAAAAATGAAACTTTGATGTGCCACGATTTTATGACCGACCCTGTATACTTAAATTTATTACCCGCTAATAGATATTTATAAACCCCATAACTTTTGTATTTAACTTTTTGCAGTACTTCCTATATTTTACCTAATAATCGACCGTTTCCATACATAACAGCGATCCTGAATATAGTTAATTATTAATAAAGTTAAATTCACTCTAGTTTTTAACCACTTTTCGGATATAGTGTTTTTAACCAAAGTTTCAGTAAATGAAAAATAGAATGGCAACACTGCGCATAGTGATGGAAATAAAAATAGCGTACTATAGCAGAATTTTATGCTGAATCCAAATCTGTACAGAAAATTGGGTGGTGAAATAAAAAAAACTTAAAACTTTATTATAACTTTTTTTGACACACCCTGTATACAAAAAAATATTTTTAATATATGCCCCTAACGACGACGATATTGGACTTCCTCGCACTAACGGGCACACCCTGTACGTCAGATTTGATAGATACCTACCCGAGAGGAATAGACTATATTTTATTATGTCATTTTAATCCATTTGAAAGCAAACACTAATGGCGTCAAATTTCAGCCAACTTAGTAATTAATAAAAACACCATAAATATGGCCTTTGTCATTGACACTGTGTAAAAAGTAGATTTATATTTTACTAATTTGTATGACTAACATTTTCAGTTCTTGAACCTTTGGAGGAGTTTACAATCACACTATACCACTGGAGAACACACTAATTCAAATGGGATAAATTAACAATACCTACCTAAAGAAAATAAAATATGTGGCCTTATTGAATATAACTTTGTATTATAGAGATAGTAATCTAAGTCTACCATATAGTCAAAAACATTTTATGATCAAACTGGCTCTGAACACTAAACAAAATTTAATAGTTTTCTATAAAAAAATATATGTCAATATCTCTAAGCATATAGCATTCATATAATTTTTCCATATACCGATCGGGTCGTCGTAAAAGCGTGGTATGGATTTTAACGTATAAGACAGCTTAATGAAAAATCAAATGTATTAAAAAGAGATAAAAGTTGGGTTAATACATTTCTTCTATACTGTATTGCCGGATTTTGCATCAAAATTTCAAACCGCACAGGTAGGTGTTTACGAAAAATGTTACAGCTAGGGTTGGAACTAGTGATGGGCATTACTATTCTTTTTAGTGAATCGAATCACACGAAACAATTTCTCATATTGAATCGACTCCTATGATTCGTTAATTTGAATAGTCACCACATGCACAATTTGCGTTTCATAAAAACAAGAATCATAACTGGCATACATACAAGAAACATACACTTTCGTTTATTTTTTAAGACTTTATGGCACTGACGTAATTGGATTGATTATTTTACCAATAATATTAAATTATGAATCCAATTCATTTATACTATTTATTAAAAACTTCCTAATACCAATTTAATATTTTTAGAGCATATATTAATTCCGATTTAATAATCATATAATGAATAGCACATAATAACGCATGATCGAAAAAAAATGGCGTCCACTTGGCTTGGAAATGAACATCGATGACATTCCCCATATAATTTTATATATAAAATGACAGCGATCTTCATTTCATAACCATCGCTGACGCCGTTTTTTTATAATATTGAGCAGAGATACGATTTGGTCTTTTAGACCGACATTTAATGGTTTATCGTGAAAACTAAATGCATTACAGATACTCCCGTACTAAGCACAGTATAAATACGTTTTTTTTTTCTTGTAAATGTAACTTTCTTATCGTTTGCATTTTATGTCTATGATGTTTGTTTAGAGCTTTTGTTCAAGTCTAAATATTGGCGCCCGACTCTCTCTATGCCTATATCACCGCCGCGCCGTAGAAACGAACTAGTATTTTGATCCGATTTGATTCTTACGACTCTTTTTTACGGCTCATCGGTCAAATTTTATGGACCCGTGCTGGCCACGATTCAATTGAACGAACCGTATTGTAAGCAAGGAATCAATTCTCACGACTCTGAACGAACGATCCGTAGAAACGAACGATCTCATTGTGATCCGATTCAATTCTTACGACTCTTTTTTACAGCCCATCGTTCAAATTGTATGGATCCGTGCTGGTCACGACTCAATTGAACGAACCGTATTCTAAGCAGTGAATCGAATCTCACGATTCATTTTTAATAGTCGTTCAAATAAACGACTCGTTCAATCTTTGCCCATCTCTAGTTGGAACTTTATTTTTCGCCGTTAGTTATTTACTTTACTAGAACTGTAATAGATATATTATCTGCATTTCAGTATATTCATATACATTTCAGTACATAGTTAAGTATTCAGTACATGAAAGTTTTCAAAATGGTTTATTTTTTTCTACACACGTAAGAACCGGCAACACCGTATGCCGCTTTTTATTTTGTTTCTCTGTTTGTTAACTGGTAATTTATATTTATCTTTGTCGCATACATTAAAATGCAGACCACGTAGATAAAGTGTCCAGGATGGTATACCATTGTAAAATCTTTTCATTATATGGTAACAGTCATTTCAATTATAATCAATAATACAAATGTATAATTCGCTAAACTCTTCTGTGATATAAATGGGATAAATCTATTTAAGAAGACACTACAATAGATCACGTATAATTTAAATTTATGACAAATCATGACAAATGTACATTAAAAATAAAATAAAAATAATATAAATGGATATTTACAACAATACTTTTTTACCAAAATTTTACTATATTTGAAATGTTTTTAGATGTATTTTTCCAGGCAAAAGAATATATGATATTAAAAATAATTTATGTCATATTAATTAAAAATTAGTATGGCTTCTCTGTGATTTTTTGGATCACGTTTATCGAATTAATCTGTAGTGTAGGATTAAAAAAAATTATGTTGTATGTTATCAAGTCGGTTTTGACTTTGACAGTATAAAACATTATAATTTTTAATAAGAACTATTTGTGTCATCATACAAACCACTTTTGATTTTAAAACTCATTGATGACATAGTACAAGGTGTATTATAAAGTTAGCAACAGATCAAAAAGTTTTTGTTATTGACAATGGAATTTCTTCAGCATGTTGATTGACAAGAAACATTTTTGACATTCAAAGAGTGACAGTAAATAGAATTTATTGTCATTCTTTGATCGAAAGTCGTCGGTGCAAAGTAAAAATCAAACGTCAACGTTTTTTTCAAGTCAATTGTATTTTTTATTCGTTAGAATGACATAAAACAAATCTAATTAAAAATAATTTCTAATTCTACAATTTAGTTTCACTCTCCCACAAATAAATTGTGCATAGACTGAAAATGTTAATTTTCAGACTTCCGACTTTGTTGCAATGACCAGCCTTTAGTGTGGGTTTATATGCATCCGTAATGCGTCGTCCGTTTCTCCAATCACGGTGAAATATACCGGGCGCGTCTCAAAAGTGGCTCACCCCCTATAACTTTTTTATTTTTTCAGATAAAAAAACAAGATTTGGTATGTCAGTATATGACATAAATTAGGATTGATTGGTGTATTCAATTGTATTTGGTCACTTCCTGTTTCACCGGAAATGACTACAACTTTTGATTTTTAAATAGCACCCTCGGTATTTTTTTACTTTATTCAATAGAAAATGGCATTCTGAATAGAATAACATATCATATGTCAACTTTTGACATTCTCGCTTAATAAAAAATTGTATTTTAAAATTCAATCTAGAGTGCCATGGGTATGTTAAAAACACTAATTCTTAATCAAGGAGTCTTGGAAAAATAGATTTGATCGTCTAATGTTTTTAGTGTCTTGTCCTGGCCAGTTAGAAAATACTCAAATCGTATTTTTAATCATATCTTAATTTTTTCAAATGGAACGAGGTTGGCTCGTTAGTATATTTAGAAAAAACATTTTGTAACGAATAATTTGATACCACACACTTGGTATTTCGAGTCAAATTTTCGTTCCGAGCCGCAAGTTATAATTTCAAATAAACCGTATGCGAAAATGTCAAAAGTTGACATATGATATGTCATTCTATTTAGAGTGTTATTTTCTATCGAATAAAGTAAAAAAATACCGAGGGTGCCATTTAAAAATCAAAAGTTGTAGTCATTTCCGGTGAAACAGGAAGTGACAGAAATCAATTGAGTACGTCAATCAATCCTAATTTATGTCATGTACTAATATATCACATTTCGTTTTTTTATCTGAAAAAATAAAAAAGTTATAGGGGGTGAGCCACTTTTGAGACGCACCCGGTATAGGTCATTTTTAAAATAAACCAATAGAGTTGCATAAAAACAACGATGGATGATGCACGACGAACGCATATAAACTTACCTTTAGCAAACAAACTAATAAAATTTTATAAACTTTCTAAATTATAATCTGACACTCAAAGAATTTTTTTTAAGAACAATGATACTCGTATATGTTTAAATGATTTTTGTTTGTTATTTGTTTATATGATGAAATAATTCCCCATAAACTTTGTTCAATATCCCATCCAATAACAAACATTTTCCCTTTGTTGCCGACTTTTTGACACACACTGTATCTATAGAGCACAATTTATACATGATATTTGTAGGAAATTTAAAAATATGTACTTATTTGGTAAGTTATACAGGGTGTCCCAGAAATAAGAGCAAGTATTTTAAGGGGTGGTAGATCTCGATAAAAGAAACATATTTTCTCTTTATCGTTTTTCAAATAAGTCCAAAATAACGGAGTTATTTTACTTTGAAAATTTCCAAAAAAAAATATTTTTTGCTAAAATTTTGAGAACCACTGTCTTTTCTGGATTTTCTTTCTTGTAAATTTAATCTACTACCTATGTTGCCATTATCAAGAAATTATATTTTTGACTAAAAACTAAAAAAAAATCGAAAATTGTTTTCAAAAAATTCCGAATTTTAAAAATGTTTTTTTCGCGAAAAAAACCTCATAGGCGTGTTTCTGGGGTTGAACTATACTACAATTATAATAATTGCACTTATTTCTGGGACACCCTGTATAAAAATGTTTGGTTTGTTACTCATATTTAGATCTATTCATGAAATGTCCAGAACTCATTGGATTAGACTGGACATATAAAATATTTGTACCCTCCAGCATTTGCTATATCCAGATTTTTGCATTATACTGAGATGAAAATTGTATACATTATTTTTTATAAAGAATAGTTCATTTGTTCGTGTTTATAATGCAATAATTTTAATTTATACTTTTATTTTTATATATTTTGTATTTAGCTGCAAGAAGTTACTATACTGATATTGTTAATATGAAAAATATGTTTGCGTTTTGCATTTAAGTACTACTCCTATAAAGCTAGTATATAATAATACATAACACAATTCGTTCACAAACACGAAGACTACAGCTTCATTCGGAAACCTCGCAATTGGTGGGAAAATTAGTGGTTTCAATTAGCGTAGAAGTTTGTTCCTCTAATTTGAATGTAAGCATATAGAACGTTAAAATTAGTGGTAGAAATTTTCAATTAGTGGAAAAAGTTAACAAACCTTTAACTTTTCCACTAATTATGCTTTAAAATTTGCAAGGAATGTCATTTTGGCCTTTGATTATCATATGTCAAGAGAAAAATGTGGTTTGAAATCAAAAGCTTATTGTTTTATAAGCTAAATATTAGGCTTTCTCTATGGATAAAACTGGTTACCGCAAGCTGTTGCTAGGATATTCTATTAATTTTAATTGTGTTTTATAGACATTGTGAATGATCGTAAACTAAAATGTATAAAGTGTAATTGAAACCACTAATTCATCCCACTAATTGCGAGATTCTGAATTAAGCTTTAGAAATAGAAAACCATATTAAAGTGTGAAAGCAAGAGATAACAATGTCAATGTTCAACATTGGTATTTCGAAAACTACAAGAGATACTAATTCGGTTAATTGGGACAAAAGTTGCGTACAGACGTAATGAGACGAGCGCGAGACATCCCAAAATTCCCAGTGTGGACGGGTCTCGCGAGACACCCCATGGGGTTTCTTTGCTATCCGTCCTCTGTCGGTTTTTCGACGGCCGATCAAAGATCGTTCGACTGGGAGATATCGGTGCAGGCTATACATAGCTTGCTTGACTCGTGGCAGGCGTATCTAGAAAAATGGATGGAAGAAATCTCGCGTTGGTCTCTCGCTCGTCCCGCGCGCGTCTCGCTGGGTCTGTACGCACCTTTAGACGCTTGACAAACACATGTGGAGAAGATCCCGTTATCTTGATTAGTTTCAGATTTATGCAAAAAAATGAAAATAATACGTTTATTTTAAGTAACAATACCTTCACACAGAACTACTGTATCCATTGCAACGTAAATGGGTATTTTTATATTTTTGGCATCCGCCAATTAAAGCCGTTTCAGAAATTTTCTACGCCTTCTAGATTTCTCACAACAGTCAAGTTTCATTTTCTTATGGCCGCTCCCAATCTTTGAATTTTTATACTATTAGATAAAAATAATATACATGACCATATCCAATTTTGATCCATTAATATCCCAAAACTCTAGTAATTTAAGCAGAAGCAAAAAGCTTCTAGAAAATAGAAGTGGTTAATTTTTATTTTTCTACCACACAGGGCACCAAATTGTGGTTGCGAGTTATAATTGTATAATTAACACACCCTGTAGAAATCTTATACTTTATATTCATCAGCACTTATGTTCATATTTAAGCCGCTGCACGACGCAGGCACAGGGTTCCTTCAGAATCCATCAACGCGTATTGTACTCCCGCTTGTTTAATAAATGTTTTTAAAAACATCTCCACAAAAACCTCAAAATTAATTTCATATTTAAAGTTATTAAATATCTAGAGTACTGCAATTACATCCATTGTGATTCAATTTAGGATTTTAAAATAAAACAATATTAATTTATAAATAGCAGAAAAAAACATTTAAACAAGGGTAATAATTCACAATTTTTGTAAAATGTTAGAAATATATTTATAATTTGGTAGATTTGCATCCTTATAGATGAAATGGCGTTCGCAGGTTTAGAACCAGGAAATAAACAACCTTTTATTTAAAAAATTGCCGACGTTTCGACGTGTACTTTCGTCTTTAACAAGGTTATTTTTTATACTATAGAAATATACAGGGTGCTACAAATACGAGGTACGAGCATTGGTATCTCGGAAACCGTAAGAGATACGAAGATGGTTAAATTGGGGCAAAGTTGCGCCTTTAGGATGTTCACCAAGATGCCATCAAAAAAGTTTTAAAAATTTCAAGGATTGCTGAGTCTTTTTGGAAAAAACGGATTTTCTTGAAAATCAATTTTATTTTTTCCTGGCGTTACTTTTTAGAAAATCAAAAAACTAATTGCACATTCTCGTGGCTACTTTATTAGAGCTATCTGATACTATTTTTAGATTTTCAAACTACCTGATAGTTTGTGAGATACAGAGGCCAACTTAATTTTTTTAAAAACGGACCGGCATTTTTTATTTGAAGTTTTGAAAGAACTCGATCTCCTGAGTACAATGATATGCCACACTTGATACTTTTTATTTGTTTTAGGTACCGTAACAGTAACAAAACTATTTAATTATTATTTAAAATAATTTCAAGTCCCAGTCTGGTTTTTTAAATTATTTAATCTCATTATATTCATTAATGAATAAATTAAATATTTAAAAAAAAAACAGAGCCGGGCTTTTTTAATTATTAGTTTAATTGTGTTCAAATGTCCGAAACAAAAAAAAATTAAGTGTGGCATATCATTGTACTCAGGAGAGCGAGTTCTTTCAAAATCTGAAATAAAAAATGCAGGTCCGTATTTAAAAAAATTATGTTGCCCTCTGTATCTCACAAATTATCAGCTAATTTGAAAATCTAAAAATACTATCAGATAGCCCTAATAAAGTAGCCATGAGAATGTGCAATTAGTTTTTTGATTTTCTAAAAAGTAACGCCAGGAAAAAATAAAATTGATTTTCAAAAAAATCCATTTTTTCCAAAAAACTCGGCAATCCTTGAAATTTTTAAAACTTTTTTGATGGTATCTTGGTGAACATCCCAAGGAGCAACTTTGCCCCAATTTAACCATCTTCGTATCTCTTACGGTTTCCGAGATACCAATGCTCGTACCTCGAATTTGTAGCACCCTGTATACAAGGTGTTCCTCCATGTAGTAACATGCTAATATTTAAGGGGGTGATTCATGGTCCTATTCTAAGAAAAAAACTTCATATGAATGTATGTCCTAAACATCATAACTTTTCAGATACAGGGTGGTAAAATTTTCTAATTTTTTTCAAAATATTTCTGATTTATAGTTATATTTGATACGTCTGCTTCCATGTATCAAAATGCAAATATTGATAGAAAAAAGAAAATGTTTTATTTCTTAATTTCCTTCCCACCGATGCAGAAACAATTTCCACACAACAGTCACCGCATCAGATTTTTAGCGATTTGACCCTGAAGTAAACTGACTTTAAATTTGTTTAAGTAAAAACTATGCCTCGGGCGAAGAAAATCAAGAGATAAAATTTGTTTTGAAAAAAATGTAATTTTGAAAATAATTTTTATTTTATGAGAGATCAGTGGTGTACCAATTTTTTCTTCAAAAATATTTAATGTAAAACCCGTATGGACGACACTTCATAAAGATATCTGTAATAAAATTAGAGTTATGAAAAAACTTTTTTTAGAAAATTCCACACCTGTAATTTTTAACCAATCAAAACGTGTTTTTTTGATAAATCACCATGGCAACGGATAAATTTTAGTGAAAATTTTTTCCTTGTGGGCACCCAACAGCGAATTATACTGGAAATTTTTTGACGTTTATAATGACAGAATATATTTTTGAGAGTCTGGTTTTTATTTGTTTACATGATAATTTTGATACATTTCAATTACAAAGCTGAGATGAAAGTTTGTAAACTGCTTCCATACGCTTGACTTCGATTTCCTAGTATTCGCGGGTGTCAACTGCTTAATCACCTGGCGAATATTTTCTTTTGCTTTCATGACCGAAGCGAAACATTTTTTTTAAGCCGTGCCGCTTGACAGCTTCAAAACTGAAATAGTTTTTAAGTTTGGGTGTCTCTTAGTTGTCATAGTAACTAAATAATCAATTCGACCAAAAAGCGAAAAACACATTTTAATTATTTGATTTTCAAACACAATTTGGTGTGGAATTTTCTTACCGAATACCACACGAGATCAAATTAAATCCGGACATTTTTTCTCGCTCATGAATATTTTTAGAAAATTATCCCTCGTCTTCGACTCGGGATAATTTTCAAAATATTCATGGGCTCGAAAAAATTTCCGGAAATAATTTGACCTCTAGTGGTATTACTAGTGAAAATTTTACTCTTTACCCTGTATCACAAAAATTAAGACGTTTAGGGCATATATTCACCCCCCCCCCCTTAAATATTATTAGCATATCATTAAGGAACACCCTGTATATATACTTAATTTATTGAGAAAATAGAAAAGTTATTATTTTAGATTTTTCACAAAATAGTATAGTAATTCGCTGAAATTGAGTAATATGGAAATTATTTATTCTATGATCTGTGAGATTAAGGGCTCAAACGCACTAACGACCAGGTTGCAGCGACCAACATTTGATTCAATGTTACTGGGAAACGCAGCTGCGACCAGTAATAACATTGAATCAAATACTGGTCGCTGCGACCTGGTCGTCAGTGCGCTTGAGTCCTAACGTCGATGTCCCAGTACTACAATCACCTCCGAAACAGCGCCATTCGATGCCGCGCCGAACGTGGTTCTGTATTAAAAGCCTCTAAAGTGCAAAGGGTTGTGGCGGTGGGGGTGACCAACCGCTGCGACGAATGGAGATTTCCAAGCCATTGGAAATTTTAGCGATGTTAGATGGTACTTATTATTACGTTATGAAAAAGGCGGAACTAAGTAATGCCTAATTGTAGCCTTTTTTTCACGTCCGGCTAGATGCAAGCATTAATCTAAAATCGTTTTTTTTTTTCGTAAATATCGTAATATTCATATCCTTTGTCTTTTCTTCTTTCAAAAAGGTGAAAACAGGCAACGCTGCAAACAGTGACCATCTGCACTTTTGACGCTTGTGTTCTGTATTGGCTTTATACTTAGACAAGACTTTATTCAAGAAATATACTACGTGACACGAGTATATATTTTTGATTTGGATGCCCTCTACTATCCTTGTTTATAGCATTATGTACGTTATTGCCGTCGCACTCTCTTGGCGTATGCTTAAAGTCTGTACTAGCCTTATAGGAATATTACTTATATAGTGGTATGTTACCTATTTTATTTTTTATGTATAGAGATATTATTTTTATGTATATATATTTTATCATTTGTTGGGAAATATATTTAATATATGCATGGTGTTTTTTTCTCTGGGTTGTTTTATTAAATATATAAAATCATACATTTTTAAAACAACATTAAATATTAGTAGGTATACAATCACACAAAAAATACAAATTAATACAGTCTACACAATGGGCATTAAAACATGTATGTGTAAAATCCTAAAAGCTGCAATAAACAGTAAATTAATTTTTTTTTAAATTATTTCTTAAAAATGCCACATTCAATAAATAAATAGATAAAATTATCACGCTATTTTAAGCTAAAAGAATAGATTAAAATTACGAAATCCAAAAAATTATTTTATATGCAGCCCTTTTCCCTATTAAACTCGCTATAGTTTGAAAAACATCATTGTCGACTTTATAGAGCGTTGTAAAAGTTTGCACATCATATAATTTTAAGTTATACATAACCTTAATTCTTTTAGTATCTTCAGCACTGCACAAGTTACAATCTGGGGCATTTGGGTCTTCAGTAAGCCGTGAATATTTATTGTCATCTAGCTTCGTTAAACATTTTTCAATAGGCTGCCAAATATAAGTTTCTGGGCAAAGTAGAAATGATGGCTTCAATCTTCCTTTGTAACGCATTTTAGGACAGGAGTGAATATAAAATCCCATGTAATAATATTGTAAGTCTGGTACTTTGGAGCACAGATCTTGAACTAACTGCAGTTCTCTGAAATAACGTATAATTCAAGTTAAACACCTAAAAACTACAACATTCAATAAAAAAACTAAGGAAGGGGCCTCATACTAGTTTGATATCCATTTATTAGAGACGGAAGCGAGACGTCATGAAAACATATTCTTTTGTTTATTTTGTTTAACACATTTAAATTGGGTTTGGTGGTTTGTATTGTTATTTGTTAATTTTAATAATTGGTTTTCTGCAAAGTGTATAAATCTGGAAAATCTATATGCCATGACTTGAATTACAGTGAGATTATTAGAATGTAGAATGTAGAATGTTTAGAAGGGGAGTTAATCACCGCGACCTTATAGATCTATTGTGTGTTCCCCTTTCTTGAGTGATAACGAGTTATAACTCATCATACAGTCTCAGGGCTTTAAGAAAAGCCAGTATCTGAGACGGCTCCACAGAGGCCAGCTCTCCATCCTCGACATCAGACGTGCCAAGGTTCATGGCACGAATGGTCGTCGTCTCGGCGCACTCAGGGATAAGGTGTTCTGGTGTTTCCCCATTTTCCCCACAAAATCTGCATTCGCCGTTGTTTCTCAGTTTCAGCCTACTGAGGTGTTCGTTGAGGAGACAGTGTCCTGTTAGAAACCCCGTGACAATCCGAAGATTGTTTTTACTTAAATCAAGGAAAACCTTTGATTTTTCTCGGTCATAAGTTCTAAGGAACTTTTTCGAGTGTCTTAGACCGTTGGAGGACACCCATTCCAAGTTACGGATGGAGTCTTCCAGATTCTTCAGTTCCGCTTTCAGTTGGTTCCCGTTTGGAAAACAGAACGGTTCTGGTCCAGTTAGTGGAGTGTTCGCTCCTTTCCTAGCTAGATCATTTGCTTTTTCATTGCCTTCTATCCCTTGGTGAGCAGGCACCCAGAGTAGGAGGACTTTATTTTCTTTGCCTAATTTGTTGAGCTTCTCTAGGCATTCTTTGACCAACTTCGAATTGATGGTTACTGAGTTGATCGCGTTAAGTGCTGCTTGACTATCTACTATGATAGGATGGCAATTTCCTGTTTTCGATAGTTCCTATCCAAGATAAATTGTACGCATCTTTCGATAGCGCAAATTTCTGCCTGAAGGATACTGGGGTAGGTGCCCATTGGTTCGAAGTATTCAGTTTTCGGCCCAAATACTCCTATCCCTGTCCCTGCTTTGGTTTTGGAAGCATCAGTATACCACGTGATGGTATGGTCTTTTATATGCTGAGTAAGCGTTTCTTTCTTCCAATCCTTTTTATTACTCAAGAGATAAAAAGGATTGGATGAGATTATTGTGAATTTTAGCTATCGTTCCGAGCCAAAAAAAGCACTTAAAAAGTAATGAAACAACTTTTCACTACTAACTAATTATACCGATTGGTCATCGGTACAATAACTAATTGGTCATCGTCTGAATTTTAACGTATGAGACAGTGATGTAGACAGCTTAATGGAAAATCAAATGTATTAAAAAGAGATAAAAATTGGGTCGAGACATTTCTTCTATGCGGTATTGCCGGATTTTGCATCAAAATTTCAAACCGCAAAAGTAGGCGTTTACGAAAAATATTGCATCTAGGGTTGGAACTTTATTTTTCACTATACTCATTTTACTACAGCTGTAATAGATTATATTTAGTTTAGATATATTATCATTTCAGTAGTATTCACGAAAGTTTTTAAAATAGCTTATATTTTTCTACACACATTTTCCTACAAACGTAAAAAACCGGCAACACTGTATGCCGCTTTGGATTTTGTCTTTCTGTCAGTCAACCGGTCACTTATATTATTCTCTGCCACACGCATTAAAATCCAGACCGCATAAAAGATAATTTTTTTTAAAAGCCTGTCTCCATTTGATACCTACAATTTTATATATGTAAGAAGGCTTCTTTTGCGTAGCTATATATTCTGTGGTGTTACTAACAAAATTAGGGTTTGATTAATTTTGATACGTTGTAGACAAAAGTTTCTGAATTGACTGTTTTACAGTAATTTTCATTTATTTAAAAATTAGTTGGGGATAAATACTGCAAAGTAGCAGTTTGAACACCCTGTATATGACATCCTGATAATTATTCTTCCTAAAATACGAATTCATTTATGAAATCCACACGCCAAATGCCAACTCTTTAGAAAGAACCATTTAAGAACGATGTCGATAATATTGAGATTTTGGAGGACACAGACAATAGATCAAGCAAATAACTTTATAGGGAAACGGCAAATCGAAAAAATTCTATGACAACATTCATTTATTTACACTCTGTATAAACTAAATTAAAAATTGAAAAATATGGGAGAAAAGGGAGAAGAAATACTAACAAAGATTTGGACTTTAGCGTGGAACGAAGGAAAAATCCCAAATGATTGGAAAGTAGGGATCATGGTACCAATTTTCAAAAAGGGTAATAAAAGGGATTGTAAAACTATCGAGGAATCACACTTCTTAGCATTGCCTCTAAAGTTTATGAGCGAATACTGGAAGCACAACTCGTAAATCAAATTGACAATCAGCAAAGTGGATTTAGGAAGGGCCGTAGTATACACGATCATATATTTACAATTAAACATTTAACAGAAAAACATTAGAAAACAAATGTCCAGGTTTACCAAAAGATCTGAAGTTCAGAAAACCCTAATAAATAAAAACATTGGCGGATTGGAAAAATTCTACGGATGATAACAGACGCACCATGAGTCTCCAATCACACTATACATGAAGATTTAAAAATTCCGTACGTCAAAGAAGTCATCCAAACTCGGAGTAAAAAACATTTCATTAGACTACACGATCACACCAATACCTTAGTTCAGCCTCTACTTGAACCAGTACCTACAAGAAGACTTAAAAGACAATGGCCATCTGATATGAAAGAATATTAAGGAGGATTTTTCACTGGAGAAGACCTCATCACGTTAAATGGAGCGTCATTGCTCTCAAGTCATTAAATTAGCCCATAGAATTTCCTTGCAAATATTCTGATTGCTAATAAATCATAATAAAAAAAAAATTTTGTTATGGATGATGTAAGGAAAGAAACCAGACGAGAGACATCTAAACTTCTTGTAGGGTACCAAAATATGCAACTTGTGTGGATCAATGAATGCGCTTTCGCTGACGGCATTGTTATGAAGGAACGAAACAGAACTTAAAAGGAATCTCAATACATGGAACAACAAATTATCTACCAAAAACCTTAAATTAAATGAGAACAAAACAAAAATAATGATTAACGGAAAGAGTGAAGCAATAGTCAACATAAAAATAAATGATCAAATGATAGAGCAGGTAAATTCTTTCAAATATTTGGGACTCCAAATAGAAAGTCAGGGATACCAAAACCAAGAGATAACTGCAAGAGTTCAAAGCGCTACAAATTTATACCATAGAATAAAGAACACCTTTCTAAGTAAAAAAGAGGTATCACTGAAGACCAAAATCAGCGTGTTTAATTCAATAGAGAACAACGGCATACGGTCGAGTCGGCCTAAAAACACGTAAACGTTTACGTACGCATGCGCATTTCTGATATTTCTTATTTTTTATACACGTAAAAGATTCTTTACGTCTACGTATACGTGTCAGCAGCGGCCGACTCGACCGTATGCCGTTGTTCTCTAGTATTGGTACTAATATTAATATTCGGTAGTGAGAGTTGGATTCTCACCAAGAGACAATAAAGCTTAATACAAGCAGTAGAAATGAAATACAAACGAAAAGTGCTAGGGGTTACGAAGATGAATAAACTATGCAATTCCGATATTAGAGAGCAGCTGAAAGTCCAACCTGTACTAACAACTATCGAAAACTGCTAGTTGACCAGTAAGAAGAGTATGGGAGGCAAAAAGGCAGGAAAAGAGGAAAAAGGGTAGACTTGCAACTACTCGGGATCAAAATGTTGCAAAATTAATTAAAACTAGACGGATTGGCTGCGCCGAAGGAGCAAGCACGGCACTGGACAAGAAGAAATGGCAAAATTTTGTTTATGGAAAGTAGCTACTAGAAGCCTACATCTTTGGGGAGAAGGCCTTCGATTATATGTAAGCTAAATTAAAACAACAGTGAGTTAGATTGCTCTAAATAATAATATAATATTGTTATTTAACAAAAACGTACCTCAGAGATCCGTATGTGCCTAGAGTCAGGCTTCGATAATCTGGATCATAAAAAAAGTACACAGAGCTCACAGCTCCAGGTAGAATATCAATAACTCCAACTGCTATTAACTTGTCATCTATCCAATACTGTTGATGAAATGAACCATATCCAGGACCTTCCACACCTTCCGGAAAAGGTTTTGGCTATAAATGAAAACAATTATTGATATTTAAATTAACCTTACAAATTTCAAGGATAAAAATATATATTTTTTTAAATTTCGCAATTTTTTAAATTTGAAATGGAAATCTTGCGTTCTATAGCCCCCATACCGTTTATTTTACACAGTAGGACAGTTAAAAACGTGAGTGTATGTAGGTGTTCCGTCCAGTTTTGCCCGTTCGTTCAATATCTGCCTTTTTCAGATAATTTAACTGTACGGTACGACCCGTTCGTTCCCACCCGATAGTGTATGGACATAAACCTCGTAGTTTTAATCAAGCCAGTGGATAGGCGTGGTGCATTGAAATGAACTTGACATTGAAATGAACTTGAACTGAAGTTGACTTCAACAAATTCCGACCGCAGCGCTTCAACGGCCGAAACCAGAAATTATCATTATGTACGCCGCCGTCGCGGCGTCATGTTGATCGCGTTAAAATAATATTGAAATCGTTTGTCATAATATTTAAGTATTTTAGTTTTTTGCTAGTGCAGTTATTGAGACTATAAAACACTCAGGTACGAGGTTTGTGTGATGTAACGCTGTTTCGGGTAGTAAAAAATAAGTGAAAAATAATTCGAACTAGGCGTCGTGTTGTGACAATTTCAAATGTTAATAAAATTGCCGAAAAAATGCTAACCCGTAAAGGAGAGCGTAATTAGGGCGTTGTTGGGTGCAACAACATTCAATATCTCAACTTTCCCGGATATTCAACTCTTCCGAAACAACATTTTATAGGTTCATCGTTTCTTACACCGATTTGATCAAAAGCAAAAATAAATTCAAGATTCAAGCAGTTCAACGAAACAAGTGAGTAAACAAAGTGCTCGTTACATAATCAAAAAATTAAATAGACATATACTATGAGAGAATAAAATATAATTTGGCATTATTAATGGTATACTTTTTTTAATCAACTAGATTAAATGCTTTATGAACATCTTCTAAAATTATAAGTATGTGCCTAAAATTTCGTTATAGCCAAAATAGCCCCAATTATGCTCCACTAGCAAAACCGGTGATTAATACTATGCTCGCTACCGTAATTGAACTCATCTAAAAAACGTTTTTAACTGGAATAATAAATTATAATACAAGTTAGACCTTCTGCAGATATCAAAACATTTACTTTTTTTAATAATAATAATAATAGCTCCCGTATATAGCGTTTAACGCCTTGGGAGTAGCAAGGTACAGTTTGCCATGCTAGAGCCGTTCGGTATACAAAGAAGGTAATGTGGCTAGCACTACGCTTCAACCGCCTATTATTACCTCACATTTACTTTTTTATTTTTAAAATTTTCATAAATTTTACTTGGGTACCTTAAGTCATATTCTTATTCCGTCGGTGCTGCCACCATCGGAGAATATCGTAAACAACCGGCATATACGACAATACACGGATTTAAAGGAATCGTTAGCCATCGTCGAAGCTAAATTGAGGGATGAACGTTTTCCGAAAGGACTTCGCTGCCTCTTAGAGGAGTGAAGGAGCTCTTGAGATGTTGTCTGCATAATTCTTATTTTCAAGTTAAAGAAAAGTTTTATGCTCAAAATGATGGTTTACTTATGGGCTCCTCCCTCTCCAGTGATAGCGAATATATACACATCGGGACAGGTCAACTCTGTGTATAGGATTTTAACGTGTAAGACAGTGATGTCGGCAGCTTAATGGCAAATCAAATGTATTAAAAAGAGAAAAAAGTTGGGTGGGTATGGGTGGGCACATTTCTTCTGAGCGGTATTGCCAGATTTTGCATCAAAATTTCAAACCGCATAAGTAGACGTTTCAAAAAAATGTGGCTAGGGTTGGATCTGGATTTTCGACAATTAGTTACTCATTTTACTACAACTGTAATAGATTACATTTAGCTTAGATATATTATCTTCATTTCAGTAGTATACATGAACATTTTTAACATGTTTATTTTATTCTAATTTCTTTAAGACTACGATAATATACTGGTCGGCAAGAGAAAATCTTGGGTCGTTTATTTTAGTCATCATTTACCTACATGTCTAGAAGTGAATCGCTATGGCAATCTTGTAAGTCGGGGAGAGAAAATTATTACCTATCCACTTAATCCGGAGCTCAACTTCATACGCTTGGGAAAATTCTTGCTCTTTTCTCTTTGTTCATTTATACAATCACAGAGTCTATAGACTCTGTGCACAACAATCGGCACCCAAAGCCGTGTGTACATTATCGGTTATATCATTAAATAAACTAACCAAAAAATATGTTGTATTACGTAGTAAATAGTGCAAATTCTATTGTCGACCATTCTAATCAGTATTAAATAATAATGGAGTGAGCCAGTGTGAAGTGAGACATTAAATGATTGATCTTTTTGTTAAATTACGTGGTATAACTTAACACAATGATGAATCGTTTAATGTTTCATATGCACCTCCATAGTTATTTAATCTGTAATCATACTGATTACATTGTTCGACAACAGAATTTGCGCTTTTAGTACGTTTTGGAATTAATAGATTATCTGTCTTATTATGCAACTAGGGATGTACGTGTCTACGTAATAGAGCATCAGCATCTCTCTCAATATATCGTATTGTACTGAACACGTTGACACGAGAATCAGCAACCAAAGCCGTGTGTACGCTTCATTAAATAAACTAACCAAAAAATATGCTCTATTACGTAGTTGCGTACATCCTCAGTTACATAATAGGACCGATAATCAATTAATTACATAATGTTGTAAATATCACAAATTCTATTGTCGACCGATCCGGATTAAGTGGATAGGTAATAAACTTCTCATTTTTCTCCCGTGTTTTATAGTCTTTTCTCTTTCAGTATATCGTATTGTACTGAACAAACGTTGACTTTATTCTTCATACACACGACAATCGGCATACAAAGCCGTACGTTGTACGTTTTATTAAATAAATTAACCTTTTGTTTATTTATTGGTTCGTTTATGCTTTATTTAATGATTGATATTATTTTGTTATGTTATACCACCAAGTGCTATAAACTAGTACAAAATTAAAAAAGTTAATTTTAAGTAAAGTTCTTTGAAATATATCTATATTACTATTATGAATGAGAACTCTTATCGATTTTTAATTTGGAATTATATTAATTGCCATGTGTAATATTTTTATTATTATTGTCAATTTTCTGCGGATAGCTGATAAATTAATCTATTGTCAATTCAATATGATTATAATATGATGTTCAAATACCATTTTGTTATTCATAAAAACGGCCTTTTTATTACTTCTCTGTCATACTGATCCATCAATAAATATTTCTTACGTGTTGCAGCAGACGAGCAAAATTTATTAATTTTAGGGTCCTTTATATTTACTCATCCCTGATTCCATCAATTATGGCCGCTGATGAAGCGGGAGGTAGACGTTCGCTTTCGGTCATAGGCGTACTGAAAACTAAAATTTCTTATCCTCGTATTCAGAATTATAAATAGCAATAAAAAGGATAAAGATAAGTAAAACTTTATACTGATAAGTTTGCTGTACCAATATTAAAAAAATTGGTAGTAGGAAATATTATTTCATAATATTATGACATGATAATGTTATAATGTAATACTAGAAAGTAAAGTAAAAGATTTGAAGTTAACGCAAGAAGTTAAGAGCAAGTGTCTAAATCGACTCTTACTCACGAGATATCCGATCTCATCCGGCCTCGAACCGGCGTGAATGAGCAGTGTGTGTCAATATATTTTACACTTTTGCCTTTATTGGACAACAGCACGATACAGAGTTTCGAACTGGTCACCCGTCTATCCACTAGTATCGCCTTACGTTGCTTAACTTCGGTGTTCTAATGGGAACCGGTGTTTCGACGTAGCTGGACCCGTTGCTGGACGACGTAGCTGGACCCGTTGCTGGACGTAGCTGGACCCGTAGCGTTGCCCGTAATACTATAGCTACAACACTAGTTATACCACCCCGCATAAATTCAGTATTATTATAAATAAGTAATTTATTTCACAGTGTAGCACAATTAGAATCATAAATACGATGCCACTTAACAGTTATATAATGTTAATTTTAAAGGTCGTTTTACATAAAAATTGTTTATCTGTTTTTATTTATGATACAAAACCCGCTTGATCATAAAACTTTTTGATCATGTCGATGAGTTTTTTTTATATTGAGTATGTGTGGGGCTTAAGAAGCAGCGTGGTGAAGGCGTTGTTCCACTGTTCGCATCTTAAACATTGTCAGCTGTCATAAAAAGATTATTATTAAAATTCTAATAAATTAAATTTTACAGAATTCATAAGCAAAACTTTTAAACTAAAATTGGCTGTAATACTAAATCTAAATGGAAATAAAATATTAGTACGCCTATGACTCAAGAGTTTGGTTTAGTTTGGGGGCGACACGTGCGAAGAGATATGCATGGCTTCCACATTTCGAGAGGCGGGGTGAGACCAATCAGCTAAGACAAATCAAGTGGTGGGAAAGAATATGGCCGTAGATGCCAGGCCTAGGAAATATTCCCTAACATTAAGGTTTCTATCCAGGAAATACATTTTTAGAAAGCATATTTTTGGACACAATTTAGTGTGTGTATTTAATTTGTTTTCTCAAACTTGGCATTTCTAAAAGTATCATTAGATAAATATTTTAAAAGAATATTTTTTGTTGGTAGATTGACCGTGCCAACCAGGCTTCAGGAAATTTTCAAAACTTCATCTGGCAACACTGACAGTATCGAAGTCCTAGAACGGTAGACATACTTTGACACATTTATCAAATCAGTCGGATTTGAAAGGGGTTGGGTGTACATCATTCTACAATATATTTACGATTTTGAAGGTTATCCATACATCTCGAGACGTTTAATCTTTTAACAATAAAAATAATTAAACGTCCGGTTGTATCTATACTGCTCATGTTTTTGTTGCTGTTTCAGCATAAGTTAAAACAAGCATTAAAAAAATGACTAAAAATCAACTTTAAAAAAGGACAATTAGCAAA